TTCCACAGCGTCAATGCACATATCTTACTGGAGTCAGTTGTGGTGGCATCTTTGTCTCATTCCTTCATCTTGACCTGTTTGGCTCCAAACTGAATCAAGGTGGCTTGGAGCAACACTTGCTGCGTGCTACTATTGAAACATGGCAAAACTACCTGTTGTTTCGGCAGTGACGTGTCTTGCGCAAGTGGCCCAAGGACAATCATACCAAGTTCATCAGTTGACAGCTGTTGATTTTCTCTGATCCATGGAGCTGCACCCTCCTCATTGGTGAGAAATACTCCGGATGCATTGGGTCGAAATTCCTGCAGTTGAACTGTTGGAGTGCCATCTTCTTTCAGCAGAAAACTACAATCAAGCTTGAAATATGTGGGTTCTGGCAATGGCATGATTTTACGTGTCTTCGCTTTTGAGTTCGCAAGCTGTACTCTTGGCTTTTCTTTGACCTCAGGAAGTTTGACTGAAGCATCCTGCAGGAGTTGCATGATTTGGCTGTCGCGTCTGGTGCAAGCTGGCTGATTGATCACAGGCACAAATCTTTTCACTCCTATGTCTTCGATGCATTGTTCAATGTGTTGATGCACCCATGTCAATTCAATACCCTTTTCAAGCATCCAGGCGGCCACACTGTTGCGAACTTGTTGTTTGAGTTGCGTTTTTGTGGCTGTTGGTCCGGCTCCACCCCAACACTCAAACACCACAAAGATGGAGAGTTCTTTGCTCAAAGGCAGGTCATCAATCCTAGTCTGCAAAGTGCCGGAAGCAAACTGTTTGCCTTTGACCACCAAGCGAGTGGCCCGCATGTGTGTGATGGGTGACAAACTGTACATGAGGATCGCATTGAGAAGGTCGGCTGTAACAGTTGGACTCACTTGACCTCTCCAAAGGGGTCTGGATTGCCACTTGAGCACAATTGGTATGCCATCTTCACTTGCAATGGTATCCAAAATGACTCTGGTGAGTGCAATCGCCAGACAGAGGTCAAAGCATGCTGGTGGGACTGGTGTTCCAAGTTCTGCCTGCGCAAAGGTAACAAACGGATGCATCTTGATGACAAATAGAGACATGTCTTCCAAGTGCTTGCAAGGTATTTTTGTCAATGGCATTTGCGATCACGGATGCAAGCAGCATTCTGGAAGCTGCATCGCCGCGAATGGTGCAACGGCAATGGTCCTTGTCAATGTCATAATGGTACACCACTGTACAGTTTTGAAAGGCCGCAAGTATGTACATTGTGTTGGCATCAATGCTGCCATGTTGGATGGGATGATCTGTGATCACAGTGCGTTGGTTGTAAGGCTGTGCATCTTGCAAGACCCCAAATGTGTCATACAGCGTGTCTGTGGACAACTTCCCAATGCAAAAAGACTGGAAATCTTCTTGGTCAAGTTGATAGATGGTCATCTGTTTGTCCAACATGAACACAGCCAGTTTGTGATCCAAATTGGTATTTTGCTGTTGGCATGGAAAAAGGTGGCACTCTCCGTTCTGCATTGATGGTTCACAGGATGTGTTCCATAACGCTGGCAAATCATGTGCAGTGGCATCGGATGCAACCCAAAATGGGATCTTCCAGGTCTTCTGATGCATGACAGCTCGGACTGTGACAGTGAATGGCTGGGTCATGGTCACTTCGATCTTCTCTTCCTGGGTCATAGGAGACGCATGCTTTTCAACCTCAGGTGCTGGGTATTTGCATGGTTCCTGCACAGTACCATCATGGTAAGCATCAAGGTCCCACCATGCATGTTGCGGCATAATGCCCTTGCCAAACTGCGTCAAAAATGACTGAATGTTGTCATGCTGTTGGGATGTCAAATCGTCTCCAAAAGTCACATGTCGCAGGACTGTACCTGCTTTTCCCTGAGAGAGGACGGCATTTGTCAGCTGGAGTCGGTCATGATCCCATGTGGCATATACATCTGACAATTTGACACTACCAAACTTTGGCATGAGTTGACAAGCAGCTACCAGCGCAATCAGGGCATGAAATGGTGCAATTTGGTTGCCTAAGAATCTCCAGGTTTTCCCAAAATCGGCAAACGCAAAGAAACGACCTGTCACTCCATGAATCATTGCAATCTCACACGGATGTAGCAATCTTGGTCCTGTACCATGTTCAGTGTCCTGAAAAAAGAACTGAAAACATCCCTTTTCTTTCAACTGGTCAGGTGGCAGGCAGTGTTGAAAACCATAGGATGCCATGACAACCGGCAATTTGTCATGTTCACTGTATGTCCGCAACTGCATTGGTGTCATCTGGGCAATCTTCCTCCGCTTGGCTGGTGGCAAGAAACCTGGTTCTTGGACAATCCTCTGCATGTCAGAACTGATCCTCAATTGTGGGTCCTGGACAGCAGGCAAGTGAGGGTCAAAGATCGCTTGGAAGGTGGCAGGCGTATGATCTTTGTTGTGGTCAAAATTGAGTTGGTTGTCAATCTTGGCAAAGTTTGGGATTTGTGTGTGTGTTGTTGCATCAGTGATTGGCTTTCCATGTCCATGTGCAAAATGACACTCATCATGTACGTTCTTTTGTTCATGATCCATTGGCGGTTGCAATGGTGTCTCAACATCTTCAATCTGCACCTGGGCATGAGGCAAGGGATTGCTTGAAGAGAATGCCTCATCTTGTCCTTCGCTGTGTGGCGTGGTTGTGGCTTTTGTTGCCTGTTCCACTAGGAGTTCCTGGTGGTGGGAGTGTATGTGACCTGATGTCCTGTAAAACGCATGACTCACTTTCGGCTGATCATGAGAGCTTTCTGGGCTATGGTTATGTGCACAATTCAATGGATCTTCAGCCCAGGTCGGGTTGATCTCAGTCCTATCCACAAAGAAACCTTTGGGGGAGATGTCAATGACTTTCGCGGTTGTCTGCTGAGAGCATTCTGCATGGATGCATGGTGATGTACATCTACCCTCGTGGTCATGTTCCTGCTGGGTATCATCAAGTTGTGTTGGCATGACGTCTTTGGCAAACTCATTCACACCTGCATGTGGTTGATCTGAATCAAGTGGCATGTGAAAAAAGTTATCCACAACATGACAACTGGTCATTGCATCTGGAATTTTTGGTTGATGGTCATGGTCATCATGCTTCATGTCATGTGTAGTACTTTGAACTCTGTTCATGCCATGTACCATGCCCTGCCTGAGGTATGCCGGATGCGGATCTTCGGATGGTTTCTGATGACAACCCTCTGGCCATGTACTGCAGCTATTGTTGATGACATGAAACCCTGTGTCATGCCCTGCCTCGGTTGGATTGGATGCAGACCTACGGATGCTGACGGATGCATTGGAATTGTGCCGATGCTGGGACTCCAGTGACTCCTGAGATACCTCAAATGCACCCCTGTGGGATGGATGCACCATGATCGACTGTGTCTCATGTGTGATGTCAGCAAGCTGCTTGGCATGTGTCATGGCTCGGTATGGTCGGACTGAATGGAGGTCCCCCGATGTCTTTGATGGCAACTGGTCTGGTTGAACGGTGAAACTACCATGCATGACATGAGATACTGTGTCGTGCCCTGCCTCGGATGCAACGGATGCAACGGATGCAACCCTACTTATGCTGGCTGATGCATTTTCTCTGGCCGGATGCTGGATATCATTGGCTTCTTCGGATGCATCGGGTGCTCCCTTGCTGGATGGATGCTTCAGGACAGGCTGATCGACCGGTGCGATCTCGGCAATCTTTCTGAGCACAGCTAACCATCTGCTACGGCTGACTGGTGCAAATCTGGCAAGATCAACACATCGACTCCAGGAAATTGCATATCCACACATGGAAATGGTTTTCATGACAAGTCTTTTCTGGGGGTGTGAGTTGAATCCCGTGACCTGTTCAAGACACATGACGTCAGGTTGAAACAGTCTGGCATGCAGAATGGACTCCGGCAGCAGCATTCCCTCAGGAGTGGCAAGTCCCTTACCCTTTGAAGCCTGTGACCAGGGTGGACACGGAGCACTGATTGTCACCACATTGGGTCCCCACTGTGCAACAGGAGTCATCCATTGTGTTGATACTGCATTACCATGAATGACACACCCTTTGAAATTCTCTTGGAAACGTTTGAAAGGGATATCATAATACCCATTGAGCACAGGTACATCATGTTGGACCGCAAAGCTGATGCATGCTTCCATGTTTGATTCCACTGCAATATGTTGTGTCGGGATTCCATGATATGCATTGAGGTGAGTTACAGCAAAAGCCCAACCCCCAAATCCTCCTCCATACAGTGAAAGAACTTTCATCATGTCGTCTGTCTTCTTTTGAACTGGCAAAATCGTGGTTGATGCGTCAAACAAATAGTCAAATCCAAACTCAGTGATATCTGCTCGATATGCGTCCAGTCCAAAGTACATGGTTTGTTTGGCTGGTTGCACGTGCTTGACATCCCAAATGAGGGAAATGGTTCCACATGGTTTGCAATCATCCCAACGCATGAAGTCAGCAATGACCGCCTCTGAGGACATTCCAGTGGGAACATATTCCAGGGCCGTCCAACGATTGGCTTCGACATGTTGAATGTTGCCAACTAACACATTGGGTCGTCCATTGACAAACTTCTGGATATTGGCCCCTGTTGAGGAAATGATTTCATAATGTTTGACCAGATCTTCCCATTCAAAGGTATCCATGGCACCGAAAGAATTGCGCTACTCAATTGGCACACCACTAGGCGTGTCAGGCAAGCCGCGGGAAGGCTTGAGCACTATGCCCTCCTGAATTAAGGCCATTTTGGGATGATTTCCCTTACCCTTATTAACCATAAATATATATATATATATTATTGTTTGCGCTAAAGAGATCGAATCATCCATCCCCTTTGGTTGATTTGCACAGTTCCATGTGATTTGAACACAACTTAAACTGGGCATAACATCCTGAGATCCTGCCAGTGCTATTGAATGCTCAGGGTCATGTTCATAACATCCGATGGTTTTGTTATTCTCGTAACACTGTTCATTCTCATCCCTTGACTCAGGCGACGGACGTAAGCATTCTGGCCTTTCAGCCTGCCGAGCGGTTGATGTGATTTGGTTGTTTCTGTATGAAGTCATGTTGGTATACAGGCGTATACAGGTATCTATTTTACATACACACCACAATGTTCAGTTTTAATACAGTGTACGCCGTGTTTCAAGTTTCAATGGTGCAAAAACCCTCAGTTTGAGTTTCTTTTCTTAGCCTCATTGATCTGTCAATCTTGACAATCTTGTTCGGAAATTCCATGTCTTGTTTGAAATCAGCCTCTGTCTTACTGGTGCGTTTTACGCAGGGAATTTTCGGGAATGATCGATTGGCTAACTATCAATTTCATCATCCCAGCAACCCCCCGCAACCCATCCATTCCCTACGTAGAACGCACCAGTAAGTTTTGGCAGCTACCAACGCTACCGTTGCGGTACCAACGGCGCTAATCACAACTGCCTGTCATCTCTGGTCATCCGAGTGAATCACAGGGATGGTTTCTCTTTTTTAGACATCTGCTGACCTATATATATATATATGCATATACCGGGTTGGTGGTTTCAACCTACCCTCTGAAAAATGATGGAGTTCGTCAGTTGGGATCATGAAATTCCCAATTTATGGACAAACCAACCAGTATATTATATATATATAGATACCACCTTCGACTTCTAGAAAAAACACATACTGCGCAGCCATCTGCGCGCCCGGAAATGCTTGTTTCATTCATCCCAGAATGGACTGACTTCACAGAAACTACCACCTCACGGCATTGATTTCTTGATGATTCTGTGTAAAGAGAAACCTCACTTAGTCATTTCCAGTATCTGTGGGTTCAGTTCCAATTCATGGTGTAAGAATGGCTACATGGTTGATGCAACAAAAACTTCATTGTTGTAGTTTGATCTTTCAAGGATACCCTCTTGCAAGTGGAAAATCCCCATGTTACTTTGATGATTTCTCCTCTAAATCATAGAACTGGATGATGGGAAATTTTACAGGAAACCCCTATATTTGATGGTAAAAACCATGGTTAAAGCTCCGTTTTACAAGGGATTTCCTAGCTAGCCACGTTTCATCACTGCCCCAGTAATACCGCCTTCCCATGATCGCACCGCCGCCTGCCGCCGAGTGAAAGTGTGCTGGGCGCTGGGTGGCTGCAAGCAACTTGGAACCCACTTGGGAGAAGTTGCCAACAGTTGGATATGATTCCTTAAGGATACCTCCCAAAGGATACCTCCCAAAATCTTCAGAAAATGATCGTGTCACAACAAAGTTGTCTGTAAATTACACCAACTCTTGAAGCACAATTTTGCACATATCGTGGGTTTGTCTGAAAAAACAGAGTGCCCCTGGCGAATCATCATTTTTCCTATTTATATATATATATATATATAGCCATATCCTGGGGGGTATACCCTATTTTTAGACACACCGAAATATCAAATCATTCGTGATAAATCCCAGCATGGCATCCCAGTAACCCCATTGTTTGAATGTGCGTTGCTTAAACTGTCAAAACATATGTTAAATCCCCATAACTGGTTGGAATCAGCAGCCACATCGCCATGGCTCCCATGGCTCCTGGGCCCGGTAGAACAACATGGTCCACCTCGAACTCGTCTCCTACCTGGGGGGATGATGCAGATCTACCACCCAGTCGACTGGGAATGGTAAACCTACATACCACCGATATTAATTTATGGTGATTTTCCTGGGGGATGGTTTATTATTGCTGGCTGGAAAACCACATTATATATATATTCATTGGGATTTTTAAAGATATGTCAAGCAACGAACATTGGGATTTGACATGATTTGACGGTATTTATCCAACAAACAATGTAAGAATGGGGATATAATGTGTGGCTAAACCATGTTAAACCATGGTGACGAGGATGTAATAGTTGTAGTGGGGGACATTCATGGGATAATGATATTAGTGACATTGTTGGACATTTATATGTGACATGGTCAAGTTACATGTGATGAATATACTAATGAGGTATGCTATCCCACTATCATGAATGGGATTCCCCAAGTAATGGACCCCTATTGATGGCAGGATTACCATTGTCTTTTGAACATTTTTCGGGCCATGGCACATGTACTGTAAATCCTTCCAACTAATGTAAAACACACCCAAACGGAACTCCTAGTTTAGTACTGGCCCAATTTATTTTGGCCCTCCCATTTATGTTGTGTGAAATAACTATAACAAACCCCAAACAGGTGTTCTTACAACACACTAAATTCCTAGCTTAAGATAATGATACATGACTTTTTTTTTCTGGGGAATTAGCCTGTTCCTCAATTACTGTATCCTTTTTGACATTCTAAGACCTCTGAAACATCCACCAGAATAATCTTCCATGTTTGCTTTCAGAGACACATGAAAAACCGTGCCAGGAATTGCTGTATGTTTTTTTTTGGTATACGCATCTGTATATGAATGCCATGGGTCAAAACAAAATTCAAACAGATAGTAAACGGGCTCCGTTGGGGTACCAATGTTTGAGACATGGCCATATGTGTATTTTTTTGTTACCATCTGGTTATTTAACAATTTTAACATAGCCATGGAAAATCACCATTTCTAATAGGTAAACCATCTATTTCTATGGGCCATTGTCCATGGCTATGTTAAATAACCAGAGGGTATATCCCAGTACATCCCCACGGAAAATTGCACGGAAAACCCCAGGAAATGGTTCGCTTCGACATGGGATTTCTTGTCGAAATAGCCAGTTGAATGCCACGAAATACCCGAAGTAACCGCTAAATTAAATGGCCATCAAATAACTGGTTGGTGGTATACCTACCCCTCTGAAGAATATTAGTCAGTTGATGTCAGTTGGGGTTACTATTCCCAATATGGAAAAATAAAAAATGTTCCAAACCACCAACCAGATAACCATTGAGTAGCCATTGAGCCATAGACAGTACCATTGCCGCCCCTGGCCATGCCTGCAGTCGACCCACAGACTGAGCACAGGAAGCCTCTGAGAAGACGGAGGCACCTGAAGACTTCCAGTGCCGAAGAGGGACAGCGTACAGCATGAGCAAATCATGGCCAAATTTGGTTACCTTGAAAAGAAGTGAAAAGAAAATTGGAAATCCAAACAGTTTTTTTTGCTCAACAATGACTTGGAATTTCTATAGAATTCTGTAGACTCGTCTTCGTATCTGAAATCTCAGTACAGCAACAACTGTCAACAACCGCGGGCTTTTCTTGCACACAGCCCAGTTTAGGAAATACATACCAGTTTGGATGTGTGCCCCTTAATGCCGGACATGAGCTTTTCAAACCATTGGGTTCTGGGAGGTTCCCCTATAGTGTCTTCAGACAAATGCATTTTTGTTGCTGAAACTCCATCTTCTTTGGTGGGTCCAATCCACATGTTTGGCTCCGTTTGGCTCTCGCATCTGGGCTGAAGGGACTGGATCCAACAGCACGGTAGCCTAAGCCATCTGATCAATGCACGTCATGTTTTGGCGTGGAGGGATGTAGGATAACCCCCATATGATGATATGGAGATAGAACAATTAAGATGTCTCTAACATAATTGGCGGAAAAACACTATTCACTATTCTGTTTATCTCTTTGGTTACTATCATGTAATGTTTCCAAATCTGGAATAGGGAAATAGTATGACATGTTAATCCAATCACCAAGCAAACCAGTGTGAAATCATTCAAGCCATTTCAAGAGAGGAAAAATTGCACCAAGGAAACAAGGATAATTGGCGGAACAAACTGATCTGAAGACATTAAATCATTGTTGAAGTCTTTGAAAAGAATACTTTCCTGGCAACCCTGTGGGTACGGATCGTATCGGATCGTGAACAATGAGAAACGCATATATGAGATCTTGGGGCTGTGAGAGTTTTGGTGGTGTTTTTTTGTTCAGTTTCTGACTTCCTGATGAACACATGTGAAAAATACTGAAATTCACCAGCCTCAAATGAGGCAACAATTTGGGGTGATGACCTGTCAATTATTGACAATCCGCTTTCTTTACCGCTTGGTTACAATTTAAGTTTATATCATATACAGTATCATATCCAATGTCGTTGTAGCCCCTATGTTTGGTACTAGTTTTGCATATTAAACCAATAGCCCTGCCCGTGTTCCCTGCAGAATAGAACTCACCTCGATGCCCGATGGAACTCCGACTCAGACGGGGTCCCGGCGTCCCAGCAACGATGAGGCCGTGAGGTCACCCTGCCTCTCCCAGAGAGTCTTGCCTCAAAACATGGGGTGGGGAAGACCCGGGAAGGAGGTGGGTGAATCCCCTATCTATCTATTCATCGATCGATCTATCGATCCATCTATCTGTCGATCTGTCCATCTATCTATTTATCGATCGATCTATCTATCAATCAATCTATCGATCTATCCATCCATCCATTCATCTATCTATTCGTCTATCTATGTATGAAGAGCCGGGAATCTTGCTTGAGGTGTTCACTTCCCCAATGATATATCTACGACCAAGAAGAACATGGTGCATATGGGAACATCATGCACTCTGCACTCTCTGACACAGCTTTGGAACATGACCCATTTATAGATGACTTATGATGATTTACCTAATAAACATGGTGATGTTTCACTTCGCAAACTGGAGGAAATGGGGGTACCCCTAGTTATCATCCATTTTAATAATGGTTTTTCCATGAAATAACCCAACCAGCTATTGGATGCTATTGGGGGATCCCCCATTGATGGAAACCCTCAAAATGGGTCACAGTTGAATAACCGCTATTAAACGGTCCCATTAGAAATTGTTATTCATAACTTACCTTAAATGGTAGGTAAAAAACAACTCTTTATGGAAACCAGCTCTTTATGTCCCGTTTCCATAAACCATTTGGTAAGTTCTTTTTCGGCACGAGTTCCCAAGAGTTCCGCCTGCAGAGTTCACGATGGACACCCAACCACCACGCCTTGGTGGCGTTCGCGTTTCGCCACACTTCCAGAGAGTTGGGATGTCACAGCGAAAGGAGAAACGTGGGCATTTCATGTACCCTCTGGTTATGACTAACATAGCCATGGTATAGATGGGCCCATAGAAATAGATGGTTTACCATGGTTTACCTACTAGCATGGTGATTTTCCATGGCTATGTTAGTCATAACCAGATGGTATATAATGAAACATCTACACATCTACCTCATAATGAATAGATAAATGGGATGGGACATGTGTTTCCGAATGTAGATACACAATAGTGTCATATCAGGAGGTACTGCACATGGCACTGTCCCGGACGCACCAGAGATGCCGTCATCCTTGGCCGTTTCGTAGGGTTATCCATGGTATCCATGTGGAAATCATAGCATTTGAAAATCCTCTATCTATAAATGTTAGATTTTCAGTTGAAAATCCTCTAATTTGTTATCCTCTGGAAAATCCTTGGCAATTAAATGGAACATCAAATTTTCACATCATCGAAGTCAATGTTTGCGAATTTTCCACAAAAAAATCTCTCCAGAAATCAAGATATATCAAGATTCGACTTTCCCATCTTTTTCCAGCTATCAAGATGACTTTCCCATCTGTTTCCAGCTATCAAGATTCGACTTTCCCATCTTTTTCCCAGCATTTTCCAGCTCCATGACTTTGCCGCCATTCGTTTTCCCAGCCATGGGATCCCGTCGGCGTTTTCCTGGGATCCCCGAACTCGGTCAAACCTCTGATCTCAGTCGCGACCTCTGAGAGGAGGCAGGTGGGCTGCTGTCGGATTTTTTCCGTGGATGGGACAGTGGATGGTGGATGGTGGGATAACTAACATTGGTTATATCAATGTGAGTGGAATTAATGTTAGTTGTTGTTTTTTTATATCAATCATCAATATACGTCCATAAATATATCATTAAATAACATATACAACTCTTTGTATCAATCAATATAGATTAATGTTAGTGGATGATATAGTCCAATAATGTAATTTGAATATCATCAGTAAGAAGTGATATTTCACCAATGATATAGATAATCACTATCTATATCATGAAGGTGCAAAAACACTTATTATTGATGATATTTCAATTCAAATTACATTGTTGGACTATATCATCCACTAACATTACATAACATTACCATTTGGGAATGGTAACCATACCACCTATAAAAATGGTGATGACTGGGGGATGGTTTATTATTGTTTTACCCACATGATTGACTATACAAGGATCGGGGTAATTGACACTGCTTATACATCTGATATTGGAGGTTAAAGTATGAATATATTCTGAGCTACATCCGAGTCACAATGGTTGGCATCGCGATTCGATTTGCCATTGTTCTTGGTTTGTTGATGGGTATTGCCAGCCATTGATTACTAGCAGTACATCATACATGGCAAATCTAAGAGGACTTGAATGTGTTTTTCCCCAACAGTGTCTGTCTCAGTCCGGCTTGGGTGCGGTTCCGGTGTTGATTCCAGGTGGGTTAACACGTTCCTATCGCACTGTGTTGGATGCTACCTGGGCTTATTTTGTAAACAGAGGTGAATAAACCTATAAAGATATATAATTATGTTATATAAACATATATAGATACATTTAATATCATTTAATGCACGCATGATCTGGGCATGAAAAACTATGCCATACCATATTTGCAGGAAGAGGAAAAGCCCCAGTCACTCCTGAGCCCTAAGGCAGGGCCACATCCTGATGCCCAAAGTTTGGTAGATCTGTTTCTGTATATCAACATAATCAGTTCTAACATACTGGGCAGTAAAATAAATGCATACATCATAGTTAAGGTATATATATATACATACATTTATCATCATATTTATTTACAAGTAATTATATTATTTATGTATATATATAATACATACAAATTATATATATATATATATTATGGTGTAATATAATGTACTAATATAATGTAATATACATATGATTGGATCACATTGACCAGTTTGAGTCGTCGATAGCCGTCGCTGGGCCTTGATTTCCACAATGGACAGCTCCTGGGGGGCCCATGTCTAACAAGGAGACTCCAACCACCCAACTTATATGGGCGGGGTCCATAAATGGGGATACCTCAAAATGGGTGGTTTATAATGGAAAAGCCTTTCAAAATGGATGATTTGGGGATACCCCTATATTAGGAAACCTCCATATATGGTAATTTTATGTCATTTTAGTAGCATGATGAAGCATTTTCTAACTGGGGGTACCCAAACGTTTGGATAGGAGGCACGCAGACCTGGAAAGCCAGCATCCAGTTGTGTCCCTCAGAGACACACGTGGCTGTATGCCACACTCTAATGGTCACTAATGGTGTTGTGGTAGCTGTGACCCCAGTCACGTTGAGATAGACTTGCCACATCTTGATCTTCGATGCCCAGCAAAGCATGTTTGCTAACCAGTTGCTGTAGTCAATTTTCCCATTCATGGCAGAAACATGCAGAAACAAATAACCCAATCATCAACCAAACAAAATTCGACCCAAGTATTGGAAGTCTAAGCAATGTTGTACATCTCCATTCATTCTTGGATGTATCACCAGAATATCCTATTGTGTCATAGGTATCACCAGTTCGGGCCTACCCCACACCCTGTTTTTTCGCTCCTGATTCTCCAGAAAGCGTCCCAGGATCTGCGATGACACGTCCGGCCCTTCCTCGCGCGATTGCGGCTTCGCTTCAGTCGACTCCGCGGATCCCCCAATGGCTTTGTCTGAAAATGTATGTTACAGAAATTTATGATGGTAATATGATGGTAATATGATGGTAATATGATGGTAATATGATGGTAATATGATGGTAATATGATGGTAATATGATGGTAATATGATGGTAATATGATGGTAATCTAATTTTTACTGTAATGATGGTAAATTTTGGTAAAATATGGATGTATGTACCATATTATATACCATCCATTTATGGTAAAATATGCTAAACCCATCCCCTATATTTTACATAATTTTACCATAAATGGATGTTTTTTTTGAAGAATCAATCCATATGGCTGGTTTTTATGCCATTGCTTTACAAACATTACCCCTTTCCATTTCCATCCATTGGTGAATCAACATTGTTTTCCTCTTAAATAATATGAACAACAGCTATTTAAGGGACGTATACCTTCCTGGATGAGCCGACATCGAACGAACTCACGCGCATCTGGGATCCGCTGCGCGGCAGTTCACCCACTGGGACAAACATTTGTAACGACCTCAGCGCGCCGGCTGCCGTTTCATGACATCTGAAAGGATGAAATATGGGGGAGGCTTCTTCAAATGGGGAATCCCCAAGCTCGCTGCATGGTTTATATGTTATGAAAAATCCGAATCAAAGTGGACGATATTGGGAGTACCTCCATGAATTGGAAACCTCCATATGATGTCATATGATGAAATACCAAATACAGCCACAACCTCATCATGCCTTGAAAAATCATCGATCATGGATCGTGTAAAGTCTAGGGGAGGCTCACTGTTCTCCGTTTGATCTTTGGATATAATGAATATGTTCCAAAAAGTCCAACATTAAAGGCAGTCAATGCTTTACGCTGGGGTAGATAATCGCATTCAGCATACTCCAAATAGAAAGGATTCTACACCATTAGCCAACCAGCAACCTTAGTTTCCTGAGGTGCCAACCAGGTGGATATGCCTGCAGTAGAACAGATGGGATCCTGTGTGTTTTCTTTAAACTAATGGCCGTCGCTCAACAATTTGGGGTACCAAATCGGCCCACAAAGTGGTGATTTTCAGGATGGCACCATTGATTTTTGGGGATGCAAATGCAGACCCACAAGAATATGAAATCGCATCTATCTAGGGTCAACGGATGGCGGATAATAGAGTAGACTCAATGTATATTGTATATTCATGGCTAACATAACCTTGAATACTCAAGTAATCCTTGAGAACTTCATCTTACAGTAAGTGTTGTTTCAATACTAGATTCCTTCATTTGCGGCAAAAGATACTTTCTGGTAATCAACCATGGCAGTGGACAATTCCCTTTAAAATCTTGAGGTTTTTGGCTGGGAAAATCACTGAATCACCTATCGGGACAGTCCGATTGCCATGTTTGCCAGAGGGTAAACCAAATAACCCAAACAGCCAAACCTCGATTTACTGGTTGGTGGTATATACATTGATTAATGGTGATTAATGGTGATTTAATGATGGTTAATGATGATTAATGATTGTTAATAATGGCTGGTTGGTGGTATACCTACCCCTCCGTAGAATATGAGTTCCTCAGTTGGGAGTATCATTTCCAATATATGAAACAAATAAAACATGTTCCAAACCACCAACCTAGATTTATACTTTAGTCGTACGACCTGTTCCCCATGTGAAGAAGTTCTGAGCCGAATCATCCGATTTTTTGTACCAACACAACTGCAAGGTTTTGTCGGGTTTTGATGGGTTATGTTCATATTATCGTGGAACCACAAGGCCAAGATCCGTCCTGGAATTGTCAGTTTGAAGACCTGCCTTCTACAAGTTTCAAACGTGTCCTCTAAGATTAGATTTCATAGATTTTCCATGGTTTCTGTGCCTAGCGTGGCAAATTTTGACCCGTAGCAACTTCCAGTACGTTCACTTTTCAGCCAAGTACATTACTAGGAGTACTACAATCGATCAGCCAAACCCAATCATAAACTTGGGTAATAAAAAAAAAATCAAAAGGAAGAAACAAACAAAAACTGCTTCATGTGTTTGTTTTGCAACATTTACAACATTAAGTACAGGTAAAAAAAAAGGAATGTATCGGGTATTTCACCCCCCAACACTCACTGAAAACCCCACCTCCACGGTTCTTGGAGCAGCTTCAGCCTTGAGGAATGCCGGACTCACGTGCAAATTAAAGAAAAACAAAGCTGGTTGGTGGTATACCTACCCCTCTGAAAAATATTAGTCAGTTGGGGTTACTATTCCCAAATTTTGTATATATATATATATGTATATATAGTTATATATATAGTTATATATATAGTTATATATATAGTTATATATATAGTTATATATATATAGTTAAATATATAGTTATATATAAAATTATATATATATATATATCATTATATATATAGCTATATATACAATTATATATATAGTTATATATATATAGTTATATATATATAGTTATATAGTTATATATATATAGTTATATAGTTATATATATATATATAGTTATATATAGTTATATATATATATAGTCATATATAAAAATTATATATATCATGAAATATATATAGCTATATATACAATTATATATATAGTTATATATATAGTTATATATATAGTTATATATATAGTTATATATATAGTTATATATATATAGTTATATAGTTATATATATAGTTATATATTTATATAGTTATATAGTTATATATATAGTTATATATTTATATAGTTATATAGTTATATATATAGTTATATAGTTATATATATAGTTATATATATAGTTATATATATATATATAGTTATATAGTTATATATATAGTTATATAGTTATATATATAGTTATATAGTTATATATATAGTTATATATATATATAGTTATATATATAGTTATATATATAGTTATATATATAGTTATATATATAGTTATATATATAGTTATATATATATAGTTATATATATAGTTATATATATAGAGATTTTAGATGATTTTGATGGTTTTCCAGTTGCCAAAATGATTGGAATCTCGCGCTGAAGTGGAAAGCACTACTGTTTTTTTTTCCACCCACGGGCTCGAGATCCCATCTTCTCCAGGTATCCGCAGGCAGCAAAGTGTCGTATAAAACATATAAAACCATGTCGACATAGTTTCTGGTTGGTGGTTTGGGAAATGTTTTATTTTTCCATATACTGGTGTATATATATATTTATATTATATATATACAAAATTTTGGCAAAAAAAGACAATAAAAGACAGCAACATCATCTAATCATCTCCCAAACCCTTTGGCCCATGGCTTTGAAAAGTGAGTTTCTTCACCACCTCCCCGCCGATGCCATCGCCTCATCTCCGGAGTCGCCTCCCTCGTACTTTGAGAGGTCGATATACCTCAGCCCAAACGGACGAGCGATTGGGCAAGGTATCCAAGGTCATGGTAGGTCTGGTTCCATTCATCCATTGGTTACCATCAGTTACCACTGGAGCAGTGGGGATCAGTGCTGTGAAAAACCTGCTGGGTACCCTGGGTACCTCTTTTTGAAGTCAACCAATGGAAAAAGACCTGGGGTGGGATCCCACCAGGTCGTTGCATTTTTTTCATTGTGTCAAGTGTCAATCGAATACATGTCCCTTACCCTCTGGTAATTTAACATAGCTATTGAAAATGACCATTTATAGTGGATTTTCCCATAAAAAATGGTGATTTTCCATAGCTATGTTAGTTTACCAGAGGGTAAATATTCCAGCATCATCATTCATATGCTATCAATGCAAGAAAAGTCCAGTCTTCCGCGAAACGGCCGGGACCCTGAACGTTTTCTTCAACACACCATGTTGGATCCAATGAGCGCTCAATTCTCTCTGGAATCTGGCGTGTTCTTTGTACGCTTAAGAAGGGTCTCATCCAATTTTACAGCCGTCAACATGCGGAAATTTCCCAGCCGTTTTCATTGGGAATATCTGGCTTTGAGCCACTGGGTTTGGGGTTTGTCCCCCCCAATGTTTCTGGCATATGTTTATTATGTTTAATATGATAATTATGTGTTTTGGATGTTCAAAACCTGTGACTTCGCCCAAGAAAATAAGGTTAACAACAATAAATGCTAATGTTAAATTTAGTAACAATAACAATTCAAATATATATATATATAAACATCTACAATAAAAATAGATAGGATTTCGTGAGATGATATGATTTCAGGACACCATATGATTCTCTGCCAAAGTTGCTGTCTCCTGCCTGGTGCGGGTCGGACCTTAAAGGTACAGCGTGGTGAAACCCCACAGCGACTCTCGCAATTTTGTGCCTAAAATGCCATGATTCTGGGGTATACCCTATCCCAAATTTCCCAAATGCTCCATAGTGCTGGAATATTTACCAACATTTGCCCTAAAAATCACCCAGTTTTGAAGGTAAATATACCATACAGTACATGGAGCATCTGGGTATGGTTAATATGGGGAAAAAATGTAGGGAAAACGTGGGATATAATGGGGATATCATGGGGATATATAATGTAATACTAAAATATATATAATATAATATATATACTATACTATATGTGTACCGTATTGGTTATTTACCGATTTGCTATGAAACATTGCCTATATAATATACGATAAACCTGATGCTTACTTTGAAACATACCGATTTGCCATAGCTATGTGAAATTACGATATATATATAATTATATATATATATGGGTATATCCCGCACTCTCATTTGGCTTGGCGATGTGTAGCAACTCTTTATAAATCGTTCAACTTTTTGTCGTGGCGAAGTACGCAAAAATACCACATGATACAACTGCAACTGACACCCGGTATAGGTTCAAGAACCTACTGCAATAAGAACTTCAGGGGATGGCTGGAAGAAAACCCTTTCTGTCAATAAGAACCCTAGGGTACCCTGGAATTCTACCCGCTGGTTCTTATTCCTAAGATTGTCAATGCAAAAATCACCAAAATCTGAGGTCCCCTGGTCTCGTACGGTCCCCTCCGGGCTTGCAATTTTGACCCATATTGTGTCTCCATGGATTGCTTTGAGTGGGACATTCTACAGGAAACCATGCTTTTGACCCACGGTTTCAAATGTGCACAGCATTCAACTCTGAGAAGATTAATTATTTTTTTCTCCAAGTATTTCCAAAAATGATACAGTAGGATTTGGAAATAATATATATATATATAATCATATATTCTGGAAATATATTCAAGTATTTTCATGACTATTTCCAACTATTCATGTTCATCTGGGAAGATTTATTATATATTTATCAAGTATTTTCAGTGTTTCCAAGTATATCAAATAACATGTTCAGAGGATTTCATCTGGGATACTCTCTGGTAATTTAACATAGCTATGGAAAGATCCACCATTTTTAATGGGAAAACTCACTACAAATGGCCATTTTCAATAGCTATTTTGACATAACCAAAGGGTATGTCATTTTCATGTGAAGATTTATCCCATCTGCGGTGAGATGCGCCTCCTGAGGAACTTGACCACCATCTGGCATGACCTCGATGGGAATGGCACCGCTCATAGCTGCTGAATGGATGTTTTAAAGCCCCAGTCATATGGGTGTGTCTGAAAATAGTGTACCCCTAAACCCAATGGTTAATGATCATTATCCCTATTAAATGGCTATAATTGGGAATATACCCTATTTTCAGACAAACCCATATGGGAATGATACTGTGGATGGGCCAGCGGAATCCTTCACCACCTTGGATGCTTGAAATCCTATAAATCATGGGATAAACTGGATAAACCATCTATCAACTGGTGACTAGGATTTCGCAAGCAACCATCCACAGTAGGTTTTGGCCCATCCAGAGATGTGTGAAATGTACAAGAAAAATGGGCTGCATCTTCCATATATCTCCATGTTTTGCACAAACATGTCCACACACACACATCTGTTGGATGTTTTTGTTGGACATGTTTGACCAAAAAACATGGACACCTTGGCTCTCTTGTCGATGCATTTACCGTACAAACTGTAGCCTTCCATCAGGGACTGTGACAATCCTCAACCACCAGGACGCTATGCCAACACGTGAATTTCCGTAAAACAGTGGTTGGTTGATGGGGATCTTAATCATTTAAACAGGATTTTGATCCCTATTGTAAGCATTCATAAATGATATTTATATCCCCTAAAATCGAACATCATCCGGTCAGTTTTGAATGATGAATGTGTTCCCTTTTCATTGAATCTCTTAAATTGCGAAGCTTGGGTAAGTGGCAAACATATTTCTTGGATTCTCTTTGGCTTTCGTTGGAGTCCAATTTGGAGAACAAATGATCAGACCTGTCCTCAATAATACGTTGAAACTCTCAAAAAAACAAATCTGATCCTTAACATATACCCTCTGGTAAACTAACATAGCTATTGAAAATGGCCATTTATAGTTGATTTACCCATTAAAACTGGTGATTTTCCATAGCTATGTTAATTTACCAGAGGGTACCATGCGCTAATCAGTTTACATCTGAGCACCGGGCAGTGTCGTGGGTCACAGCGATCCATTTGTCACCCACCTGAGGTCTCAACTATGAGCTATAGAGTTTTGTGGGGCACCAGGTCGGCTTCACGTTAAGTGGGTTTCTACATGACTCCAAGAACTGTTGGGTTTCTGGTAGATATTACTATATAATACTGTATATATATATAATGTGTATAAATATGTATTATATATATATATATATTGAGCTAGTTGATGGGAGTTGTGTTTACCAACTTACAAGTGAGGGCATTACCTTGTAGAGACCATACAAGCTACGACTACATGGCAACATGGAACAACAGTCACTTGGCCACGCATGATCAGGACAACCAAACTGCATGGGAGCAGCTAGAGGCTGCAATATGGGTTGTTTCTCAAGTGGGGATCGACTGCAAACTGTTGTTTACAATAGATTGGTTTAAGGCAAACATATCACGGCAACACTTGTAGTTTCTTGTACTGTGACATATCCACAAATACATATATATATATATGTATAATGTATATATATATACATACATGTTATAGACCAATCCATAGATATTATTTGATCAATCCATAGAATTCCATATATATTTCCGCACGAACAAACCACACCATAGGGAAAAAACAAGTTCTGTCACGAGTCATCAAACATATACTGTGACTCTGACTGTATCAACTATATTCAATTGTGATGTTCTAGGAGATTAATGGCCTCACAAAAATTGATCATTTCTAGCAGTAAAGATTCGTTTGGAACCGATGGAACTGTCAAACCTACTAACAGACCAACCCAAAAACTATCCGAGGCAAAAAAAAATAACCACTACCTCACAAAGGCTGCCATTCATATTCCCATTCGTATCAACAAAAAGATGAAACATAAGTCCCCATCCCGAAGTTGAGGTGATCCTTGACCCGGCCCATTCGAAAAAAATCCTGTAATCCCCATCTGCGGGTATCCCCAAGTGGACAGCATCAAATGTTATCCATGTATCTGGTTGGTGGTTTGAACCTACCCCTCTGAAAAATATGAGTCAGTTGGGATGATGAAATTCCCAATATATGGAAAGTCATAAAATTCATGTTCCAAACCACCAAGCAGTTATTGTTGTTGAATCCTATTAAGTCATCTTAGATCCTGCTAAATCATGTTAAATTCAGCCATTTCCGGTACAAATTTAGAAGTCTAACAGGAGCCCTTGCCATGTCCGCCGCATACTCATTGCTGAACATGGTAGGATTCTCAACCCAGGCTCCGGCCTTGACGCTGCTCACCGAAAAACGAACATTGATTTGGAAAAAAGCATGGTTTCCCTAGGGGAAATCCATTGTTTCCCTACAGGATGGGCCCCCCAGTTATGAGCTGGTTTATAAACCATTATAATCCCCATATTAACTATAGTTATATCTACCATAAACCATTGTTAAGCCACTTATAAACCAACTTGGCTATCTTGGGGGCCCCATCCTGTAAGAATGTTTGAAGATTTGCAACATTGATGTGGACAAACCATTTCCGGAAAACGATCTACAAAAAATAGTGGGGAAAACCCACATCGAACTGTTAGTTAAAAAAGGACTGTACCAATCAAAGCCAGAGAGATTTAAGCAGTGAAGGATGTATATAAATTGTCCTTAAAAGGTGATTTAAATGGTGTTTTATGTGACCACAATGAACATTTTATCAACAAAAATGAATGTATCAATATAATAGATTCTTTTTTTTTTTTCGATCATTGGTGGATTTCACTTTAAAAATTGGCAGAAGGTGATATGCAGGATATGCAGCCAACAAAATTGAATCTGGTCGCGTCGAAAAAATCAACGGAGGGAACACTGGGTACTCTCTGTCAGAACCTGAAATCTAATGAACCAATGATGTTCACAATGGGAAACATATATATATATAACATATGACGACGTATATAAATTTATATACATATATATTATAATATATATAAATAGTATAATATATTATATATAATATGATATATATATATAATATATAATATAATATAATATAATATAATATATACATAATATATATCATATGTAAAAATGAAAAAATAAATAATATATATGATATATAATATATAAAATAGATCATATATATATATATAATATATATATAATATAATATAGATAATATATATATATATAATATAATATATAAATATATAATATACTGTATCAGTTTCGTTGGTGGTGTGCCAACTCTTGGAGATATGTGCAGTAGCCTCTGGAAAGAAATAAATCTCCCTTTTTATGGATTTGTTTCGCGTTAAATATGGAGGGTTCCATAAATGGGGGTACCCCAAAATAGATGGTTTATAAGGGAAAATTCAATTCATAAGAATTTCCAGCCATGTTTCATTCCCGAAGGGTACAGTACTGAATTTTAACACATGCCGGTCATGAAACCACTACCAAAGCTATTGGGATCACCGGAGCCTGACATCTGGCTGTCAGTGCACCATCTGGTTGGTGGTTGACCTACCCCTCTGAAAAATATGAAAGTCAGTTGGGATGATGACATTCCCAATGCCATTATATGCAAAAAATACAATTCATGTTCCAGACCACCAACAAGGAAAACCCATTTATCAATGACGAAAAACATACGCCCAGAGTTCATCCCAACATTCGCTGCTCTCTCGTGCACCCATCGCCATCGCCGCCGTCTAGGGTCCCCGTCGTAGCCAGAGCCTGCTTGAGGATGACAGCGACCATAGACGTGGCCGCCGCACAGCAAAGCAACGGCCTGAATTTGGCAAAGATAGGAGCTCCCTGCTAGAATACTGTATTTACACAGATATAATTTGGGATATCCCTTTTTGCACTAACAGCGGGCACCATCAGAGGGCACAAAAATAGCACCAACAAATATGGCAAAACTTGCTTTGGCTCCAAATGAACATTGTTTGAACATAGTGTACATAATTTGAACACACGAAAACATATGAATAAAAAACATAAATGTATATAAATGTATATAAATGTATATAAATATAATATTATATTATCATATAAAATATTACAAATATACGTATGTGTGGCGCATCACTGTCTGCACCAATCTTTGGCCACATCCTCCATTTTGAACCCAATCATAGCTATTTGTTGCCCATTTGCATGCCCATTTATATTTATGACCCCATGTAGAACAGAGAAAGTGGATTTTAGCAAAAAAAATATATATATATACCCTCTGATAATGACTGTTATATAGCTATTGAACATGGCCCAGTCGAAATAATTAGTTTACCCAGCTAGAAAATGGTGATTTTCCGTAGCTTTTTGTATGTTTACCAGAGGGTACCCGTTACTTACCCATTCAATACCCGTTACACAATGCTTACTGTATCTGCTGCCTAGTTTGCTATCCCCCATCGACAAAGCCAACTAGCATTCTATTGGTTACGCATCCCATTCTACAATAATTTTCTGGTTGGTGGTATACCTACCCCTCTGAAAAATATTAGTCAGTTGGGATGATTATTCACAATATATGGAAAAATGAAAAATGTTCCAAACCACCAACCAGTTTTAGGGTCATTCTAAAATTTAGTGTCATTTCATCCCAATTCTATTGTTGGCCTATTGTTGTCGAATGAAATCCTCTTTTTAGACCAACTTTTGGCCGTAGAAATCACTCGACAATCTCCCTGTCTTTGGTGGTTAAATCCCCATCTCACATGCCAATCCCCATCTGGTTGGTGGTTGACCTACCCCTCTGAAAAATATGACTTCGTCAGTTGGGATGATGACCTTCCCATGGAAAGTCATAAAATTCCATGGTTCCAAACCACCAACCAGCCATTTTTGTTGATTCCATGACAGTATAGTTGTGTCAGCGCCGCATGATTTCAGATTGCTTGTCTGACAGCCCTAAATCAGTTGATCAAAAAAATATTGTTCCTGTTAGGATTGCCACTACTTGGGGATATACCGCATTTTCAGATACCCTCTGGTAAAGTAACGTATATAACTATGGAAAAGCACAATTTTTAATGGGTAAATCCACTATAAATGGCAATTTTCAATAGCTATGTTTGTTTACCAAAGGGTACTAATTTAAAACCACAAATCCACTTTTTAGGGGTATACGTAATACCGGTCTACTCCATTATGTGTGTGAAGAAAGCAATTTGAGCAGTGTTAAAAACCCTAAATGTCATTCCTTTACACTGGTTGGTTAAGAGCAGGTAGCACCACTTACCCCAAACAAACATCAACCATCCAACAATCATCATTTATCAACTCTCTTCCCATGTTTTAAGCTTTGATGCTTAAGACAATCCTCTGAATGATGATTAAGTCAAGTCCCATTTCAATCCCATTAAACTGAGTTTTTCATGGTTATATTATATAATAATATATCACTATACCCCGTTTATCATGGGACCATATATGGTATATCACTATACCCCATATAATAAAACTGGTGTATATATATATATATCATTAAACTGGTTTATTATATAGTATATCACTATACCCATATATCTCTCCCCACAGATTTTTCATGCGACTGTCGCCTCTCGGTCATTAAAACCCATGCGACCAAAGATGGTCCGCACATGGGCGGCCAGGTTTTCCCAGCCCTAGGAAGTCGGGAGGATAGAAATCACGTTGAATGTGCTGGTTTTTTTTCACCATGTTGATGTAAAAAAAATGGAGTTGGACAGGAATGTGTTGATATTGGTGTCGAAAATAATGACCAGTCATTTCAAAATGTATGGAGATGGATTGTATATACAAAAATGCACATACGAGAATCTAGAAATATACCAAAATGAGGTAGGCATACAGGAATATATAACTACGATGAGGTATGATTATTTCTTCCCTACAATCCTACATGGGATGCGATTTAAGCAAACGCATGGATGACAAAATACCATACAAACCAATTTTTCAACCATGGTTACTCGGTGTTTACTCAAGTCATTGATACCTGAATCATCTACCCTCTGGTAAACTAACATAGCTATGGAAAATCAACATTTTTAATGGGAGGGTCCACTATAAATGGCCATTTTCAATAGCTATGTTAAATTACCAGAGGGTACATCAAAAGGAAATGAACACATCCATAAGTTCAAATTGGCCTAGCCGCTTAACCCCGAGCCGGTCGTCATGGACAATCACTCACCTGTGGGATTCTGTAAGTAATCAACTGGTTGGTATACCTACCCCTCTGAAAATATGAGTTCGTCAGTTGGGATGATTATTCCCAATATATGGACAAATAAAGAATGTTCCAAACCACCAACCAGTTTTTGGTGATTGTTTTTAATTGGTTTCCGATGGTTTTGGGACATTCAAGACCCTGCCGCCCTAAATATGACAGAGAATAGTGCACTTGTCTTTGCACTGGGTCAAGCATGCAATATGTGACAAAGCCTGATAACCCGGAAATATGTTGAACACACCCATACTAACAAAAAAAACTTCTAGACGATGATCTTTGGATGTTCATTTATTCGGAAATGATCATCTCTATACCCATGGGATTCCCAGTTCATGTATTGTGATAATGACCCAGGATCATTCCCAATTTTCTGAAGGATAGAACAAACATTAGGGGTATTGAACACTGCCCACTTGATCTTATACCCGTTCCCGACAACTGCCGCTTCAGGCCACGTCACATGGGTGAAGCTTTCCAGTGAATTTTGATTATGACTGACCAAACATGCGGGTTCGAAATACTGTATGACTTGAAATGGGTTCCAAAAACAATCAGTGGCATGGGTGACATTTTTTAGGCCCCAAACTGATTTTGATCAGTGCCCAATCATTTGTGAACCTGCGTAGAACTCTCCAAATCTCGGTTGGCAGTCAATGAACGTCATGTCTGTTGTTGATGTTGTTGTTGTTGTTGGGTCCCTACAATTTCGATGTTATACGGAAAATCGAAGAAAATAGTGGGTTTGAGGGAGGTCACCTCCCGTTTTGAAGCTACCCGATCACCTCAACCATGCAATGCCTGGTCTTTGTTTATTGTCTGGAGAACTTTTGGAACGTCTTGGGGTCCCCAAATATGTTTCAAAGAAGACTACATCCCCTCATGGCTTTGTCTCAAAATTGTTTATCCCAGTCCCTCTCCAGTGAAAATCACTTTCGCCAGTGAAATTGCGCAACTTTGGGAAAGATCCGTGATTTCTTGGCAAAGCCCCTTTTTGTAAAAGCTCCAAACACACAAATAAAGCAAATACATCACATGGAACCCTGCCTTGAGTCTGCCTTCGTCGTCTACCTGAAATCTGAGGCGGTAGATTCCATGCTAGTGAGGCACTCTCATATGTATTCATATGTCATATATGCTCTCCAGTATGGACAAATCATTTTCAAGCACGCGTCATTGGTGGTGTCAACGGTGTCAACCCGCCTAAAATCATCATTTGACTCAGAATCAATGGATTGGTCTAAGAGAAATCTGACAAAACCCTGCCCCCCTTAACCCCATTATTTCATGGGAAAATCCTTGGTTTTGATTTACCATCTGGTTATTTAACAGTTCGCCATGGAAAATCCCAACCATAAATGGAGGTTTCTAGCTGGGAAAATCATCTATAAATGGGCCATCTATACCATGGCTATGTTAAATAACCCGAGGGTATCCCTTAAACCAATCCGTTGAATCCAAATGGTCAAAATATGTGCCGTGATCAAGTTACATACAATTAATGGGTTGTGGTCATCCCACCATCATTGGGGAATCCAAACATAGTGGGTATAATTATGTGTTTATATAAACATAATATAATATAGTTGATAAATATATATGGCAACTATATATACATAAATCCCTATATGGTAATATACATATATATATATAAGTGTTTGATCTACATGTATTAATATATATGTATGTAAATCCGTATGAAAATAGTTGATGACCATCCCCCAATGGTTCACATCGCAAAAAGAAGCGAACCAATGATGATTCACCTTGAAATTCCGCATGGCGAGTGCCGTTTGCTAACAGAAGTGTCCTTCAAAAAGCATCAAAGTTTAGTTCAGCCAGGTTCATCCATGTTACTGTCCAACCATAAACCAACTGACGTCGTCTTGGTCACATGGATTTTGTTGTTGGCTTAACCGAGCTGTCATTTTTCATGTGTGGCAAACCTCTCAAATTGGGGGTCAAACAAAACCGTCAAACAAAACCGTCACCGGTTCATCGGTCTTCCCATGAACGGTGACTTTTTTTTTGCATAGGTACCCTCTGGTAATTCAACCTAGCTATTGAAAATCACCATATTTAATGGTTATATCATATATAAATGACCATTTTCCATAGCTATGTTGACCTTACCAGAGGGGCCCCCGTATCTTGGGGAAATGACTTTAGCAGAATGACCATCCTATGATGTCGATGGTTGGAATTTTCGGTGCTGAGTGGTTTCTCTGATTTTTGTTGATACCCTCTGGTAAACAGCCACATAACTATGGAAAATCACCATTTTTAATGGGAAAACTCACTATTTCTATGGCCATTTTCAATAGCTATGTTAAATTACCAGAGGGTACATCTCTTTAAAACCTAGTTCCATTTGGTGTTCCAAATACAAAAACGAAGGTGTTTCCATCGACACCAAAAAAAAACTGTCGACCTCAGAAGGTAAAGTTGGAGCTGTCGACCCAGTGCGACTTGTCATTTAAAGTTGGCTGGTTTTGAATGGGGTGCTGACTGGTTAATGTTTGACGTGCTACCAGACATGGTTTAAATACCATGACATGTTAGTGATATGTATATACCGTGTGTATATATATATATCCTACAATAGCTATATGTATAGCTATGTTGCACATTCCCAGAATTAAATCCAAATCAAAATGATATAACCCCTATTAGCAATAGATAATGAAGGGGAAACATGTTAATTATATCTAGTAACTATGTATAATAATCATCACCCCGCAAAAACTATAGATAATAATTTCCAATTCATATCATATATATATATATATACACGTAATTTGACTATCAACTATAGAACATAACTATAGATAATAATCGCAACCATGACCCTACATAAACAATACAGAAACCATAACATAACACCTAAAAATAATGTAGATAACCAACATATGTATAGATAGTAACTGTAATTAAATAATAATCGCCGCCATAACATCTATAAAATTATGAGGTAAGTTAACAGTTCGACCCTGAAAATCACCAAGTTTTAAGTGGAAACGCGTATTCCAACATATTCCAACCCCTGCTCATGGCAGGATCTATATATGTTGATTTACTGGAGGGTAATGGTTAGTAATGGCTTATAATTTATAATGCCTTGATGGATCTTAGTGGTGGCTAGTAATGGTTAACTATAGTTGGTCATTATTGCTAGTTACATACATAAATACCACCAACATATAGATAATAAAACTATAGATAATCGTTATAATTAATCACCACCACATCCATAAACATACATAAACTCAGTTACATACATAAATGACCCATTAAAATATCTAATGTACTATATTTTGTTAATACTATTTACATACATATTGCTAGTTTATGTAACTAAAATATAGATATAAATATAGATATAGATATCATATTATACAGTGCTAGCATAGTGCTTACATAAAATAAAGATAAACAAAAAATGCTAATACCCTCTGGTAAACAAACATAGCTATTGAAAATGGACCATTTATAGATTATTTACCAAGTAAAAATAGTGATTTTCCATAGCTATGTAAACGTTTACCAGAGGGTATATTACTACAATAGAGTTATTACATCTTCAATGGGAATTCCAGGATCCGATTCAATGGAGCTACGTGAGTACCATATTAGGCCATAGAACTTCTGGGGATCTGCCCTGATTTTTCGGCCTCCATGCCCTCGGCCAGGCCATGCTCCGGCTCAGGCAGGCGACCCGGATCTACCTGGGATGTGGAACGTCTACATGGAACATGTGGAAAAATCTATGAAATATCTACTATATATATATAAATATATATATATGTATATATATATATAATACATATATATATGTATATTATATATATAATACACATATATATATATACATATTAATTATATATATATATTATACTTGTTTGTTTCTATCAATTGAATTGGTTTAAGGGAAAAATTGACCGGAAAAGCCCCATACTTGACGGTAAAAACCATGGTTTTGGAGTAAAGATTTTCGCTTAAAGCCAATCCAATGAATCTGTGAAATAGGAAAATCGTTGGAAAATGATGGAACAGTTTGGACAGCATATGGACCATACAATGGAACATATTGAACATGTTCGGATTTCAAAACTATCACGAATGGGATTTGTTGGGTAGGAAAATTGTGATTTAGGAAACAGGAACATGATTTATCATGATGTTCATTTCTCCTGCGTGTTCTAATTCTATGTTAATTTACGGAAGGGCAGTGGTTCTTCAATAGTAACTTAACCAAATAGTTGTGTTTTTTGTTTGGTTTGCAACAACCTCTGATTGAAATCAGATCGTATTCAAGCGCTATAAACAACGATGATGACTACACGGCCAACTAGGTGGGTCAAATATGGGTAACACATGGTTTATCGAGTATATATACATACACATATTATATATATATAGAGAGAGAGAAAGAGCAATACAACAAGCTGCTGACAATGCTACCCATATATTCAAAACATGGTTCAAGACATGGGTCAAACATAGTAGACCTGCATCTAGGATCGACCTTCACACGGAGTATGCTGGGCTTATCCCAGAGTTGTGATCTCCCCATCTGCCAGTTTCCCTCAACCGGGCACGGGGCACCGCTTTCTCTGCTGGGGCATCGGTCCGACCACCAGTGAACTTGATCCTGCAGACCAAACGGTGGATAGATGAGAAAAGGACGACTGACTCGATGATCCTAACGTCCTCCATATAAATATATAAATATATAAATATAAACATATATATATATATCTACAGTATATATATATACTGGTTGGTGGTTTCAACCCTCTGAAAAATATGAAAGTCAGTCGGGATGATTATTCCCAGTATATGGGAAAACAAAAAATGTTCCAAACCACCAACCAGTATATGAGTGGCGGCCAAAATGCCTTACCCGCAATCTGGACATGGCCAAAGTGGGTGCTCCCCTATCGGTTGTGAAGGTTTGTACTTCCATGCTATGTGCGAAAATAGGGTATCGGCAAGTGGGTGATCCCCTATCGGTTGTGAATGTTTTCACACAATTTGAACATCCCATGTCCACTCCCCACTACGAATTAGTCGTCCGCTAATTTTGTCGATTACTCTCATTACATATCCAAACACATCCACGGATGCTGGAATATACTGGCATGATGTAAACAGGGTTAGCCGCTGCAGTAGCTGAAGATTTCTTCCAAACAGCCCTGCAGTAGCTGGATTCCAGACTTTCGGAAACTGTAGAACATGTTCCCTGCAACTGCAACCAGTGAGTGGTCACCCAATGTACCCAGTGACCCTTCTCCTTGGCCCGGAAGTGGTTTCCAGTGCCACATAAGATGCCAAAATCCATAGATCTGCATAGGAGATCCAGGGATGTTTCGCCTGGAGAAAACTGAACAGTGGAAGGTAGTGGAAGGCTGGGGGTCTGGGGGTGGAATTGGATTGAATTGGTACTCTCAAATCACTCAAACCACGAGTACCTCATCAAGTGCTACTTCATTGGTACCGTGGCATTCCATCCAATGGAAACTCATGCAAGGTGACAAGGGATCGGAATCTTCAACAAGTACATTACCCTCTGGTTATATCAAAATAACTATTGAAAATGGACCATTTATGATATTTCTGATTATTTATGGTTGATTTAGCCATCAAAAAAAATAGGTGGATCTTTCCATAGCTTTTTGTATGTTTACCATAGGCAAGGTAAGAAAATTCATCTACTGATGGAGGATTCTGCCACTGCGTTGCCGCGCATGGCATGGGCCCCTGGGCCCCTGACCTTGATGGGTTCCAGAAGCGCCATGGCGTGCTCTAAGTACTTGTTCTCAGGGTCATTGGCCTGGAAGGTTGAAATAAACGTTATGGAACATATAGTACTATCGAAGCCATGGCCCATAGAAATATAGATCATTTCTGATGATTTACCTATAATTATATATATAGATAGAGAGATACTAAAACTGGTGATTTTCCATAGCTACGTTCAATTCAAGCAGAGCAGATACATTCTTGGGGAATCAACCACCCCCTCGTTTTCCGTGACCTGCAAACGATGGGTGACCTGAAGTCATCTCCAAGTTTTGAAAAAACCAGATACACTATTGTATATAGAAATATATTTTGATATAGAAATTTACTATTTTGATACACTTAGTTTCTTAGAACTATAGTTATATAATATATTTGTCTCTGATTTTTTGAACATAGCTATTGAAAATGGCCCAGTCGAAATCGTTGATTTACCCAGCTAGAAAATAAGGCGGATCTTTCCATAGCTATGTAAATGTTTACCACAGGGTAATCTTAGGTTGCGTGAACAAGATGGGGTGGCAAATCCGGTGCTGCCCGCAGCTGGTCTTTTTGCATATCCCATCTGTAGAGGGTAAACCATCAAAGCCCAGGGGGCGAGAGATGGCTGGCCTTGGTACTGTGGATGGGCCAGCGAAATCCTGCACCAGTTGATAGGTGGTTTATCCCACTATTTATAGGGTTTCAACCATAAAAGTGGTGCAGGATTTCTTCCATCCACCATATTAACTGCCAATCAACAACTCTGGTCCTCCAGGTTTCATTTTTCGGATTAACTGTTGATTTTTAGCGGCACCACATCCCATGTTTGATGTGACTGATATGTTTTGCTAATTACCACATGTTGACCCATGCCCATCGAGAAGACCGAAGCACAATGATTTCCCCCAAAGTGGATTTTTCCGCCTTTGACTTTAGTGCCGTGTGACAGCGGTAGAGACAACCAGCTATGCGTGAAGTCCCCACCAATGATTGTGATCATTAATTAAAAAACACAAACAAAACAAACAAAAAACAACAAATTCAGGGGTGACGACGCGACACACCATGGGACAGTCGAACGCACGGATGCAAAATGACAGATGCCGGATCGAATGCATATGAATGCATCCTCCCAGGGTGGATACACAGGTGCCGATCTGTGTGTCCACTAAGGACGGAATGGCATACACATTTTTCTCTTTTTCCCCATTGGGGTGACAAAAATAGTATGTAGTTTTTGATACGGCAGGGCACCGGTGGTTAAAGATGCAGTCAGTTTAACAGCAGGGACCCAAAAACTATTTCCAAGATCCTTCAGGGCGCCTGATTGCGAGACCCATTCACCAGGGAAGATAGGACACTGGTGGTGACGGGTCCAATGAACAATACGGTTCCAATGTCAATTTTCACAGGTAGCTGTTTTGCTTGCGGTATAAGTTTGCCCTTGTGTTTTATTATTGCGCAAGTTCCAAAACAGAAAAAAACACATGGAACCCAGTTCTTCCAAATTGATGCTGCTGGCCTTTTTTCCCCACTGTGCGCCGTGCGCTGTTTTTGGTGCATGCGTGTCCTGTGCTAACATCCTGGTTGGGAAAAGATAGGATTATGGATTCCCTTAGACGTTTTTTTTTTCAAATAAGAAAATTTTAAAATTCAAAAAAGGCTGGGAGAAGATGGGGTTATGGATTCCCTTATTTGTTTTTTTTCAAATAAGAAATTTGATTTAAAAAAAAACTAGTTTTTTTAAGGAATATCTTAAACGATTTTTTCTCAAATAAGCAAATTTGAAACTTCAAAAAAGGCGAGGAGAAGATAGGATTATGGATTCCCTTATTATGCCCTTATTTGATGATTTTTTCAAATAAGAACTTTGAAAACAACTAGGATTTTATATGAATCTCTTAAACGATTTTTCTCAAATAAGCAAATTTGAAAATTCAAAAAAGGCTAGGAGAAGATAGGATTATGGATTCCCTTAAACGTTTTTTTTAATAAGAAAATTTTAAAATTCAAAAAAGGCTGGGGGAAAAGAGGATTATGGATTCCCTTAAACGATTTTTGTTTACCTAATACAATTTTAAAATTCAAAAAAGGCTGGGAGAAGATAGGATTATGGTTTCCCTTATTTGTTTTTTCAAATAAAACAATTGTGTTTTTTTTAAAAACTATGGTTTTATATGAATCTCTTAAACGATTTTTTTCTCAAATAAGCAAATTTGAAAATTCAAAAAAGGCTAGGAGAAGATAGGATTGTAGATTCCCTTAAACGTTTTTTTTTCAAATAAGAAAATTTTAAAATTCAAAAAATGCTGGGGGAAGATAGGATTATGGATTCCCTTAAACGATTTATTTTTACCTAAGAGAATTTTAAAATTCAAAAAAGGCTGGGAGAAGATAGGAGGGTTCCCTTATTTGTTTTTTTTTTCAAATAAGAAAATTTGAAAATTAAAAAAGGCTGGGAGAAGACAAGATAGGATTATGTTTCCTTAAACGTTTTTTTTTCAAATAAGAAAAAAAAACATTCAAAAAAGGCTGGGAGAAGCCACAAAATCGTTTAAGCTTTTTGCTTGTGTTTTAAGTTCTGGTCAAAAAAAATCACAATCAATTTCAATCAACTTCAAAAAAACAAGGCTGACATTGGTTCTTTCATCAAATTTGCTTCCAAACTGGTTTCTATTGTTTTTTTTTTATTGTTTAACATGTTTTGGTTACATGTTTTTTTAATTTTCCTTTTTTTACTATTTAATTTAGTTTAAATATATAAACAAAAACAATACCAATCCCTCTGACTCTATTCTACTTACAGTTTTTTTTTGAATCATTTTTCTTATTTTGATTTGATATGTGTTTGATAAAAAAATAAGGCAATCTTCTCCCAGCCTTTTTTGAATGTTTTTTTTTCTTATTTGAAAAAAAAAAACGTTTAAGGAAACATAATCCTATCTTGTCTTCTCCCAGCCTTTTTTTAATTTTCAAATTTGCTTATTTGAGAAAAAATCGTTTAAGAGATTCATATAAAACCATAGTCTTTAAAAAAAACACAATTGTTTTATTTGAAAAAAAACAAATAAGGGAAACCATAATCCTATCTTCTCCCAGCCTTTTTTGAATTTTAAAATTGTATTAGGTAAACAAAAATCGTTTAAGGGAATCCATAATCCTCTTTTCCCCCAGCCTTTTTTGAATTTTAAAATTTTCTTATTAAAAAAAACGTTTAAGGGAATCCATAATCCTATCTTCTCCTAGCCTTTTTTGAATTTTCAAATTTGCTTATTTGAGAAAAATCGTTTAAGAGATTCATATAAAATCCTAGTTGTTTTCAAAGTTCTTATTTGAAAAAAAAACATCAAATAAGGGCATAATAAGGGAATCCATAATCCTATCTTCTCCTAGCCTTTTTTGAAGTTTCAAATTTGCTTATTTGAGAAAAAATTGTTTAAGAGATTCCTTAAAAAAAAACTAGTCTTTTTTCAATTTTTCAATTTCTTATTTGAAAAAAAACAAATAAGGGAATCCATAACCCTATCTTCTCCCAGCCTTTTTTGAATTTTAAAATTTTCTTATTTGAAAAAAAAAACAAATCGTTTAAGGGAATCCATAATGCTATCTTTACCAGCCTTTTTGGAATTTTAAAATTTTCCCAGCCTTCTATGACAATGACAATGATTTGACTTTTGAATCTTGGATGGGTTGGTTTGAGCTAAGTATGTAGTAAGTATATATGTAGTAAAAAAATGAATTACCTGGTTACAAGTTATAGTTATATATATGTAACATGTATGATAACTAAGGTGACTCAAACTTGCATTGCCTTGTGGTTTATCTTTTTTGTTCCACCTGTGAGCCATGAATCCATGAGAATGGCATGGTTTCTCTTTGGTCCAAAATGCAGAGTTTGGTGCCTATTTGGGGGAGCCCAATCCATAAAACACAAGCCACCAGTTAAAACGCAAGACCTGTGCAAATTCTCAGGTTCCAAGTAAAACTTTGCTGTGAAAGTTTAAACTCAGTTTCAGCATATTCCAAGTTCTGATCAACAATATCAGAAGAATGACCCCAAGTACACTCAAGTTTGATTGTGGGAATGGTTCAAAATCATTGACCTCAATTTTTGGATGTCCAACCTCTGGTAATCTCTGCAAGCTGGAAAATCCCCGGTCCTCCAGCCACATTTGATTACCCGAGGGGTACTATCTTTGACAAAATACCCTCTGGTTATGTCAAAATAACTATTGAAAATGGCCATTTAGAGTGGATTTACCCACTGAAAATGGTGATTGTCCATAGCTATGTTAGTTTACCAGAGGGTACATTAAAAAAAAAAACTTGGAATGAATCGGAACTAAGGATTTCAATCTAAATTAAGAGCCTAACTTCTGTCCATGACCCATGGATTCGTCGAACCTTGCCTCCTTCGCATGTCGCATGGTCGCACCATTGGAACCACCGCCCATCACAGGGCAGTAGGTACCTCCCAGGATGTTTGGGACACCAAGGATATTCCCAGCCATACCTTGCATTTTTGTGACGGTCTTGGCATTTTTTGATATTTTTTGGGTCTATGTAACGTCACAGACTTTTGGATCTAGGTTTCCGATAGAAAATTGGATGAATATCACCCACTTCAGAATGGCACCTCATGATTGTTGCTAAATGAATCAGTCCAATTGTAATGTGGGTAAAACAATAATAAACCATCCCCCAGTCATCACCATAAGTAGTCAAAATAGGATAAAATGTAGGTGGTTACCATTCCCAGTCATGGCTGGTAAAAATGGCATTGTTTTACCCATCATCAACCATGGACATTCCCATGAAATCACCATGAAATCCCTATTTTTCTTGGCTAAATCACCATTTGTGTTGGTTAAATCACCATTAAATCACCATCATTCAAAGATGGTAGCAAGAAATCCAACAAAAACCTCAGTGGTGGCGGCGCCTGAAGAGTGCCATGCTAGGCGAATCAGAATGGGAGCATAGCTTCCATCGTCCTTGGCATCGGACGCAAGGGACCCGGATCCTGCCGGGAGTGGTTGGAAATGGATCTGGAGAATCAATAACTCATCAATTTTTGCCATATATCATATACTGGTTGGTGGTATACCTACCCCATTCTACAATAATTTTCTGGTTGGTGGTATACCTAGCCCTCTGAAAAATGATGGAGTTCGGCAATGGGAAGGATGACATCCCTTTTCTATGAAATGGAAAATAAAAATGAAACCACCAACCAGTATATAATAATATATAAATATTACGAATATTATGCCAAAGTATCTAGCCGTTTAACTTCAACAGATGCCAAGTTAGCTGTATTGGGGCAGCAGTTGTCCAACATTCTTTGCTCAGAAAATGCGTGGCCATTAATATGCAGATATTGCTTCAAAGGTCATCCGTATATCCTATGGGGAAAACAACGATGATAGAAAGGTTGGTGGTTTCAACCCCTCTGAAAAATATGAGTTCGTCAGTTGGGATGATGAAATTCCCAATATGGAAAACCACCAACCAGCCTAATTGCTACAGTTATTTTAGTTATGGATTTATCATACGGTATTCAGTAATAGAATATCATTGAGGCTAGATATGGAAATGTAAAACTGACTTATTTGATCTTTGGATGCAGTGGGTGATCCAAATCCGATTGCAAACCAGGTGTCATCAGCCCCTGAATGCCCCTGAATATTTGGGGACCCAGCCTGCTTACATAAAGGTTGAAACTCGAAATGACACCTAATTGACAAGTAGGAGTCGAACTCTTGATCCATACATGCTTTCACCAGTATATACAAAAAAAATCAAACATACCCAAACAATAGTTTTCCGGTACACTTTCAGGCCAAGCTCAAGACTATCCCGATATCCCAGGCATGACCAATATCAGGCATGGGTGCTCACCAACCTGTTGGACATTTCGCCATCAGAAACACAATTCATATAAAGTATGTTAAAAAAAAGACAGTCAGTCAGGCCAATTTTTTCATCCTATCATCTAACATCCATTTTCAATCTATAGATCCTAATCATCCCTTTCATTGACAAAAAAAAACACGCTCCCCATTACCCTCTGGTAATTTAACATAGCTATTGAAAATGGCCATAGAAATAGTTGATTTTCCCATTAAAAATGGTGATTTTCCATAGCTACGTTAAATTACCAGAGGGTATATCCACTCACATCCCTGTTTTTGGGTTGATTGAACCCCTATAATCACCATTAAATCCCATTAAACCATACTAAACCTACTGCTTCGTTTATTCATTTGGCGAACCGCCATCGAAAAGCAGATGGTGTTGTGATTCCCCCAACGCTGCGCGGATGATCCCACGGATCCCGTGAAACAAGCACCGCTTGGTGTCACCGCTTGGTTATAAGCTGTTTATATCATTTTATATCCCATATGCTCCATGTATGGTATATTTACCTACATTTGGGTGATTTTTAGGGCAAATGTTGGTAAATATTCCATACATGGAGCATCTGGGTATACTAATATAGATGGAATAATCCACTTATAATCCACTTAGAAATTAAATGGTGATGAAATATGGTTTTATAATCCACTTAGAATTTGAATGGCTATAACCTACAGTATTTATAATATTTACCCTCTGGTTATTTAACGGTTTGCTATGGGAAGTCACCATTTTTAATAGATAATTCATCATGTTTATCATCTAGAAATGGGCCATGTTCCATAGCTATGTTAAATAACCACAGGGTATATAGATGGAATAACCCACTTACGGGATTTGCTAACCAGCGATACAAAGCAGTTACTAAGTAGGATGATCCTATCATCAGCTTCCCCATCAACATTGCATCTGTGCGGGTAAATAATACCCTCTGGACAAAGCCAAATAGAACATGTTTCCCGAAATAGATCAAAAACTGTCAGATGATGGTTGCGATTCGACATTTCAAGACCCAAATCCTAAACCATAGATGCCCTGCCGCCCTGCCAAAAGAAAATCACATGTCTGGCATATATATATATATTATAATATATATTAACTATTATATTCTATATACCATATATATATACACCATATATGCAGATACATACCATCCCCAATTTATGGCAAAATCAACAAGAAAGAGGAGCACCTACATTGTATATATTTAGTTTTCCAATGTGACATCTCCAATGATAATGAAATCCTATGATTCAACAAGATTGATCCACAAAATTAACATATATATATATATGTATTAACCACATCTATCCATGATTTCTATCCAAACTTGGTGGGTTTGTTAAAACATCTTTCAACCAGCGTTTCGTTACGAAACGGCCAGGCGACCCATTCCGGGCTGATCATCGCCTTTTTCAGGTCCGCACGAACCACCTTTCTCTGAAGCCATGGTGAAAAATTGGGAGGGTACCATAAAAAAGTATCAGATGAGTTATGACTATGACTGGGGAGTACCCCCCTAATTTTTCTAAACCATGGTTTATTCATCCGTGGTTGACATTAAACAACAAACATGGGGGATTTTTGTGGGATTTAGAAGTGAATTATGTCTAGATCGTTTAGCTAAGTTGGTTACTCCAATAACTAGGGCTTATTCGATAGATACAACATACTATAACTGAAGTTACGCGCAGGCCCCCTGGTTCCCCGACACTTTTGGGGGTTTCAAAGGATATTGATATTGATTCAAGGGAATCTTAAAGATGTTGCAAAAGAGTTTCTAGGGAATCATCAAATCCCCACCACCGTTAAACTTTATATTCAAGGGAATCTTAAAGATGTTTCAACAGAGTTTCTAGGGAATCATCAAATCCCCACCCCCTGTTAAACTGTATATTCAAGGGAATGTTCAAGGAGTTTAGGGTTTAGGGTTTACAAGTAGGGTTGATGATGTTGATTATATTGTTGATGATGATGATGATGATGATGATAATGTTTCCAACATTCAATGCACAGGTTACTAAGCTGCGCGTTGCAAGATGAAAGCCATGATCATGGACATGTGCATTTGTCCCGCAAAACACAATGTGTTTTGATGTTCAGACACGTCGTTGACGTCAGCGCAGGCAAACGGAGGAGGGGTTTGAACTTAAAGTTACTATGGTCTATAAACCAACTAATATAAGTGGGGGCACCGCCTCGTATATATATATATATATATGTTATGTATAATATAAAATATATACATACATATATATATAATATGTATAATTAATATAACATGTGTAGAATTATATATATGTGTATTGTGTATGATATAGTATCTGTAGTGTATCTGTAATAGCTTACATAATGATAATTGTATTTGTTTTAATGCACATGTTATGTATATCTGATATAGTACCTATATGCATAGTATTAACATCTTCATGTGTAAATAGCATTATACAGTGTATGTATATACGATAAGATATATATATATACATGCATACATGTCACGTTATCTCCGGATTACAGCCGCATTAGCAAAGCATATTTGATATACATGGTTAGCAGTCTGAAAATAGGCTACCTCGAAATCCACTATCCTCTTGTAATTATTTACATAGCTATTGAAAATGGCCATAGAAATCGTTGATTTTCCCATAGAAAATGGTGATTTCCCATACTTATGTGGCTGTTTACCAGAGGGTAATCATCGGTAATTTTATCCCTCTTAAATCTGCTATTTGGGGGTACACCGTATACAATATGTTCAGAAATACCTACAGCCTGCTTCGTTGTCTAATCTCTTGGAACTACAAGTCAGACTTCGCCTCGTACACTGCTGCCTCTGGTCCATCATAAAGAATTCGAGCGAAGGACCTTGTCCCAGGGGCTGGTGATTGTACATGGTGCTGCTATGCTTACCACATGTGGGTATTTTTCAACCCAAATGTAGGTAAATATGTCATGTATAATTTGTTGTACATTCAAGTGATGGAATAGGATGTATGGCGAGGATTGCAGTGAGTCCAAGAGCAATCCATGTGCAGGAACCTCCAATTTCACAAACTAAAAAAAACGAACGGTTATTTAACGTGGCTATGGAAAATAACCACATTTTATAGGTAAATCACGAAACATCAATATAAATCATCTATTAAAGTCTACAGTAAATGGGGCATGTTCAATAGCTATGTCAAATAACCAAAGGGTAATCACAAAAAAAACATCATCATTGATGTCTATTATCAAGTCCTGGAAACACCAACCAGTTGCTGATATATATATATAATATATATATATATATTCTGATAAAGTCCACAGGATCAACATGCTACACCTTAGCAAAATAGAACATGGACCCCATTCGCCCAGTTCCACTGAGGAAGTGGATCAACATCCTGTACTTTTGGTGTTCACATCCCGAAAGTTTTCTCAGAATTAAGATATTGGTCAATGATGTTTTTCAGGCTTTCTGGCGGGTTGTTTACTCCCCGTTAAATAACATGTCAATTGGGGATCAAAGTTACCAATAGGAATGGAAAATAAACAATTTAATGGTTGACCAGAACCACGGTTATCCACGGTTGTTTGGGTTTGTCCAAAAATAGGTTCCCCCGTTGGTTCCCTTGGTATATCCTTGTCCTTTACCCATCTGCAGATGCTCATATCACGTTGTTGGTTGCACAATATGTATATATATATATATATGCATATATATATATATATATGTGCACATCATTATATACCCTTATAATCCCTTATATGCCTGCTGTAATCCTGTTGTTGTTGTTGTTGTTGCTTTAATAACAAACCAACTGACTAACTAACTATCTATCTATCTATTTATCTATCTACCTCTCTATCTACCTATCTATCTATCTATCTATCTACCTCTCTATCTACCTATCTACCTATCTACCTATTTATATTTATCTATCCTTCTATCTATCCACTTACTTATCTGCTCTACCTATCTACCTCTTTATATATATATTCTTATCTATTAATTGATCAAACAAAACTACATATGTGTCTCTCCATTTGCTTATCTGTGTACCTATGTATCTATCTATCCATCTATCCATCATTTTGTGTAAGTCTGTAATTGGGTAAGAACCACATCAAAATCATTCAATATCTAGTCATATATAGAGTATTCCCTACTTACATATGTTTTTTTTGAACATATGGTGCCCAAGATCCACTGGTTGATTTTCATTATCCTGCTTTTAAGATGGTAATAACAGGGGCCCCAGTTTCAGACACACCGGCATACACATTCAAGAAGACTTGTGGATCCAGAATCTTTATGGATCTAATAAAAAATGGTGAAATGATCATATTTCGAAAAAAATCCTGAAACTGATTTACAGTAAGTAAAGAGTTCAAAGCCCTTTGGGGATGATTTCCCTAATCCTAACATATCCTAACCACCATCAGGTCATGCCTGTCGTCCCCCTCGGGGCCCTCCGGGCCCCAGACTCCAATTTCATGCGACCCTCCGCCAAGCCGAAGCCCTCCACCAGCGACTGCAGCCGCGCCTTTGGAAAACATAGGGCTTTTAACATCGAATCTAGTCGAACCGTTTCCAAAAAATGCATATAAACTGCAATTCCATCGCATTTCATGACTCTCATGTTGGGTTTGGGTCAAAGGGTCACAATCACGCACACCCAAAAGTCTTATCTAGGCAAGGATTTTGGAGCAAAGATAGAGAGTGCAGTAAGGATTCTGTTAGAATTTTCCCGTCCCATCCTTTGTGACCTCTGGAATCATTGCTCTCCTCTGACGATTGCGAATCTTCCATGTATGTGCTAGAAAGCAAACACCTTTTTAGCAGGATAAAACATATTTCTTTATTTGCATAGCAGAAAAAAAAACAAACTGCTTGCTTGCCATACAAATATACAATTTGCCAATCTTAGATACCCATCAATGCCTCGCCGAAACCAGTTGGCTCGTATTTGTATCCCTTCTTATGGCAGAACACCAAAGTACTATGAAACAGGTGAGTGTGTCGGAAACGGGTTGTACGCCCAATATTTGACATTGCAAGTGCTATAGGGAAAAGTATGATTAACAACGGGATTCCAAAAGGTACTGTATCCTATTTTCAGGAAAAACAACAGCATAACATAGCATTTTCGCATAAAACATATGGTATAGCCTCTAAATCATGAACCTTAAACCTGTATCCAACCAAAAGTGGGAATCATCCCATTATCCGTCCGAGGAATCCCCATTTCAATAGGGAAAAGGATGGGAGGAAGATTATGAATCACGATAAAATGGATTCATCATCATTTTCCCATCACTTTCTCATCATGTTCCCGTCATGTTCCCATGATTTTCCCATGATTTTCCCATGATTTTCCCATCATTCTTCTGGGTAATTTATAATATTTCACTAACCTGAATTAAGGCCATTTGGGGATGATGTTCCGTATACTAATCATGATTTCCAGGGTTCGGTCGCAGTGAGGTCGTGATCAAATTTACCCAGATTCTTCCATGATGAACCCATGATTTTCCCATACCCATATGCTCCATAGTGCTGGAATATTGACCAACATTTGCCCTAAAAATCACCCAGTTTTGTAGGTAAATATACCATACATGGAGCATATGGGATATTCAGACCATATGGCAGTGTGTCAAAACCTTGTACCCCTGTAGTTCACATCAAAATAGCTGGTAAATGGATGTTCATTCCCCTTAAAATGGTATTAGTAGGTATTGATCCATACCCATATTCAGACTACTGTAACCCAACTGGCATCAACTGGCATCAACTGGCACCTGCGTCCAGAAGTTCTTGGTGTCCAGCGCTTGCACCAACTTCGACACCTCGTCCCCGCCAATGGTGCCATCAGGGCTCCTGGTGAGTCGATGTGATGATCCATCTGGATGAGACATCCTTAAACTTATAATAGCCATAGAATTTCCATTTAACATATAACCATTAGTAATAACCATATTAAAGAAGCGTATTAATAACAACCACAGATGCCGTCAAGATGCCGTCAAGATGCCGTCAAGTTGGATGATATCTATATATATATAATTATATTACCATATTTATATCTATTGTATATATATATAAATAGAAAATAATGGTTTATGCTCATCCATCCCATGCCATGAGAATCCTGTTAATTGGTTTACAGATCCCTATGAAAATGGGATTGATGACCCTTCTGGAAAAGTATTGGTATACAATCCAACTTTTGAACGGAAAATACACCCTTCAGATCCCGTCTCGGAGCCCGAAACCCCACCTGTCGTAGTTTTTCAGCAGTTGCAACCTTTTTTCGCTGCCCTACCCATCTGTGGATGGAAGCATTTCTTTGTTAGATGATGTTAGATGTATATATATATATAATATAGATAGGAATAGATAGGAGTGGGACTGGGAAAGAAGTTAGGAAAGTCAAATACATCTCTGGTTGGTGGTTTCAACCCCTCTGAAAAATATTAGTCAATGGGAAGGATTGTCCCATATATTATGGAAAATAAAATGTTTGAAATCACCAACCAGGTGATTATCATTCTTTGACATGACTTAGATATTTCTGGATGCCTAGCGTCTGAAACTTGTGATTTACACTCTCCAGGACTAACCCAACACTGTTGCCTCAAACTGATTGAACATATGGAAGATGGTCATTGCCTTCAATCAGATATCAAGATGGATCAATATTATATATGATTATATTATTATAATCATTGATATTCCATATACATATTATCATATTATATATAAATTATATACGTATATCCATATCATATATATATATATCCATGACTGTATGTGTATGAACCATATGGATTCAACAGCTGAATCAAAGATCCAACCGATTCCAACCTGGATTTTTTCCTCACACTTCACTGTAGCACGACCTACACCACGTGGTATCACGTGGTATCACACACCATTAATGTCGATATATGTAGTATATAATAGTATATAGATATATGTAGTATACATATCTGCATGTCAAGTCATGTCATCATGCCCAAAAACAACATCTCACAACATGCCCTCACCTCCAGCTTTTCCGGGCCGCCCGGCAATTTGTCGAAGGGCAACGGTGCGGCTTCAGACGCCATTGAAAAGTTCGCGCCTGATGTTCTTTGAGCCGCAACTGTGCTGCACGCGTAAACGGTGCGAAACGTCGGCTTCACCAATGTGTTGGGTTTCCGGTATTCAATGGGAGATCTCCAGGATCCGATTCAATAAGATCATATAAGGCCATATGTTATGGGGATATTCCATTACATAGGCATTCTATAGGCCTTTTTTTGTGGTAGGTATGTTCAAGTGCTTCTGCACACTTCAATTTACCACGTCCTTGGACCATGGACCATGTAGCAGGCAATTCGGATACCTTGCTGAATGGCATCCCTCACTGGATTGGTTTTGTTGGGAAAATTTTAACCGGAAACCCATGGGTTTTTACCATCAAATATAGGGCTTTCCGGTTAAAATTTTCCCATAATCCAATTCTATGAATCCCACACATATCAACAAAAACATATCGTTGAAACATGCTGTTCACCAAAGGAACTCTTGAACTTTCTTGGATTCTTTCGCTTCATGACTACGATGATCCATATGAATTCGTATACAAACAAAATTAATCCGGAGTAACCTGTGTTGACTCGTGATCTTTCAAGTGGAAAACCATTTGACCGAAGTACTTGTGGAAATTTCCGAGAGCGAGCTTGCTGCATGATGAAAACTGATCAAATCTCGCGATTGTTCCACTAAAATGTACGTTAAGCCTGCTTCTAAAGATGACAAAACCGCAGTTTTAATTCAAAGTCAAAGATCATCCTTTCAATCAAACAATCTGCAAGAGTGTCAAAAATAATCCGTTCAACCATAATTTTTGCATCATCCAATTCCATCTGAATTAATTATGGACAGATTATTGACACCTAGTTCCATCTTTATCCAATCATCCAACATCTTAGCTCACTTCTTATCCAATTCCACCTTTTTTATGTGAGTAAAACAACGCCATAAACCCATCCCCCAGTCATCACCATAAATATAGGTGGTATAGGATAAACCATTCCCAGTCATGGCTGGTAAAAATGGCATTGGTTTACCCACATTAATCATCATTGGCCATCCATTAATCACCATGTTCAACCATTATTAAGCAATATTGACCCACATTATTCAATTCCATCTTTATCATATATAGGCTATATATAGGCTATATAGGTTTATCTTTACCAGAGCCGGCGCGGCGCGGCGCTGGAGACCCATCGTTTTTTTTCTCCGGTTGCCTGGCGTGCACGGCCGAAGAAATCCGTGTGCCATCCCGTCGATGGATGCCTGTGGGAAATAAATGGAAATAATAACATATATCATGTTTCACACTTGTTATCTGTAATATGATTATGACATATTATATCATATTATATCATATTATATGTATTTCTTATATATTTATATCACATGACTTGTGAATCACAGCAGTTTCGGCGATGCCTAGGCACCAATCCACACACGGCGATGATGGTGCCATAAAGCATCTAAACCTGGGACTTCTCCGACTGCTGGGACTGAACATAGCTACGAAAAAAAAAAGAAACATCTATTGGACAATCAGCATGTTTTTTTTGGTAAATCATTGAACTCAATGTGCAATTTTCTATAGGTCCCGGACGCAAATGGCTAAATTCCCCGTGGCTCCATCCATCTGAAATCTCCGCCAATATTTTTTGGGCAAAGTGAACACAACCAATACCAATTTTCGATGGTCAAGGCTAGGGTCAAGGCTAGGTTCGGAAGGGATTAATTATTTGTTTGACATTTTTTTCCGCAGATATTCATCAATTGATGATCTTGATGGAACAAACGTCAAACCATTGAAGATACCCTCTGGTTATTTAACAGTTCGCCATGGAAAATCACCATGCTATTAATAGGTAAACCCAGGTAAACCATCTATTTCTATGGGCCATCTATACCATGGCTATGTAACAGTCGTAACCAGAGGGTATCTGAAACCATGGACCCGAGGGCATCCGAGGGCCCCCTCTATACCATGGCTATGTAACAGTCATAACCAGAGGGTATCTGAAACCATGGACCCGATGGCATCCGAGGGCCCCCTGGATGCCTGGGATGCCTGGAGTGGGGATTGCCGACCCTGCAATCATCACCTGATGCTATTGAAAATGGCCAAATAGTGGATTTACCCAGCTATAAAATGGTGGATCTTTCCATAGTTATGTGGATGTTTACCAGAGGGTAAATCGATCTCATTGCTATTCACATGATTTCACTTGAGATATCCAAGTCCACGTGTTTAAGGTGTTTTTGCTTTCGTGATGCTTGATGCCCGACACAATCAGCACTTTTCCCAATATAGAGTTCAATGAGCGATAGCATCCCCCCCTGACAACCATCATTCTTGCCAAACCCAATGATTTCCAATGGTTTATATTACCAAATGTCCCATAGTTCATGGTAATTCTAACACCTCAATACTATCCAACCACAACCATCCATCAACTGGGCTCTCCGGGCGTTCTCGGGTACTGGCGCTGAGGCCCGCGAGGGGATTCGCGCCGCTCTGCTGGAGGTATCTCTCCTTGCCGGCAATGATAAGCAGCATTCGATGGGCATACTGTGTGTACTTGGTGGTGCAGTTCTAGTAAGTTGAGAGTTGAAGGCTGCATCACAACATAGTTATATTATGTTATATTATAATCATACCCAATAACCGCAACTTAACTGCACCCCCAAGTATGAGTACGGGTCAATACTTACCAAGAACAATGGGGATTGAAGAACGAGAGACTTGCCAAGGGAAAGTCGCGCCAATTCGAGCTAACATGTAATAACTCATCTACAAGTGACTATATTTTTTTAATACCCTTTGTTGTTACCCAAGAGGATGCTGCTAGCACCGAGTGTACGCACAACGGGTGAACATTTCAGACCTTGACCCAAACCCGTAATGACACGAGCCGCCCAGTATGAGTAAGTTCTTGGCACTTGTGTAAAGAAAGGCATGGAACATCCAGGACATCTCGTACAGGTATTGAGAATTGCCCTTTGAAACCAAACCTTCTAGTCTAGAGACCCAGACCCTCTCTGCAGCCCAGAAACAAAGCTGCAATTCAACATCCAAGACTCCCACTCTGGCACATGTGCCTTCTGCAACGGTTGGACCAAGCCGGCTGGCCGGCTGAACGAGACACTTCTGAAATCACCAAGCTGAAACTCTGATGGATTGATTTGTCCAACTGTCCAGTGTCTGGAACTCACAGCAAATATGGTAGATGTTCCAACATGGATCATGTTTTTGACTGAAGTCTTGGTATTTGGTGTTTTCAAACCGGTTTGGTGTTTTCATATGTTGGTAGTTAGCTCTTTGTTACCGTCTGCAACTACATAGATTTTGATATGGCTCTTAACCACATTAAATCAATGTACCATCTGGTTATTTATCAGTGCGCCATGGAAAGTCACCATGCTATTAAGTTCGGTAAACCATCTACTTCTATGGGCCATCTATACCATGGCTATGTTAGTCACAACCAGAGGGTAAATCAATGAATCTTCCACCACAGCTCATGCCCCAGGAAAACCACCTAGCCTGTGTCGCGTGGTTCGGTGGAAGCAGGACCTTCTTTTTCAGATGCAGCATGGATAGCGGGTGGGTGTTACGTCTTGACCCATCAGGCATGGGGTAATATGATAAAATAATTCAAGACTTACAACAACAATGTGAGACCAACTACAAACAAAGATTGCAGTCCATTTCTACTCGATTCTATTTTATATTTGGACACAATTTACAGCTTAAAACCGTTTCGGAAAAGAATAGGGTCCTATTTCAACGATGTTCTCCATGTCAAAACCAAGAATTGCTGGAACTCTCAACGCCCAGCTTGGATTCCAGGAAAACAACCATCAAAGGAGGCAGAATCAACCATTGATTTCGTCGAAATCTAACAGGTCGCTTTTTGAGATCCTCCGTTTTTCAATGGATCCTATGACAACATGGGGATTTCACCGTGCCATGGCTGCCATGTTGCCGAAAATCTTTGCAGAAAAAAAAGCATCAGCTTCTTTCGGAGCTGCTTCCCCCCAGAGTCGATCATTCCTGGTTGAATACCGAATACCCAGAGCCAATTCTGTGGCTCCATTTGAGGCCCTCCTGCTAATTTCATTATAAAAACTATTTGGTTGAACAATCACCACAGAATTTAGTGGCTTGAAATCACCCATTTCAGCTTAAAATTATGTTAAAATCACCCATTTCATCATTATGTCACCTCTGTTCTTGGCGAAGAATAGCCATTTTATCTTGCCATATGGACGTTTCCGACCATTGGGGGTACCCAAATCATCCAATCGTCATGGATGACCATTGATTGAAACCCATGGTTTTGGCCAAAAAACATCCAGGATGAAACCAACCAATTCATATCAATTCCATAAATACTTGTAAATCCTTATTATAGCATTTTATAGTATATTATATTACATTATATTATAATATATTATATATATATAATATTATATAGATAATATTATATTATAGTAAGTATCCCCCATGAGTTGCTTAAATATCTTGAATCATGAAACATCGCACTGAAAGCTTGGGGATGTTTCTACGAAGCCAAGTCACAGGAGGTGGAGCAAAAGCGACTTTCGTCGGAGCGGCTCCAGCGCTCCGTTTTGCGAAGGTCCTGTGGGAATGGAAGGGTTTTTTGTGGGTTTTCGTGGTCGAAAAATGTACCCTCTGGTTATTTAACATAGCTATTGGAAAATCACCATTTCAATGGGAAAATCCACTATAGATGGCCATTTTCAATAGCTATGTTAAATTACCAGAGGGTATGTGTTTTTGATGGTGTTTGAAACAATGTGCTTGGATCAAGTTTTGTTCCAAGATGTTCCAAACATCCAGTCCCACAGATATAAAAAAACAGGTCAATCACCAGATTTACCATCTGGTTATGTCAAAATAGCGATTGAAAATGACCATTTATAGTGAGTTTTCCCATCAAAAATGGTGATTTTCCATGGCTATGTTAAATAACCAGATGGTAACTGTAGAAGATGGAGAAATTGTGGCTGCGGACACCTCTCCACTTGCGGACTTGCTGGCAGACCTCGGTCATTCCAATCTGCGGTGCTGGCCTTGAGGGGGATGGTGCTTGGTTGATTTTTTGTTGTATTCATAACTTAAAACCATGTAGATATATCATGATATATCTATAATATATATATATATATCTAGCATAAGACCTAGGGACCTTGTAGTCTTAAAATGTTATAGCTCGACTTGGCTAACCATGGGGCACCAGCTTGTAGAGACTGCAAGGATGATATGTTCACCATGACCAGATCCTGACTTCAGATCCTGTGGTCGAAACTCCGGATCTTTTGGTTTTATGGCCCTCTTCCCATTGCCCTAAGTGTTTATTAAACATTCAAAACATATGCTGAGTACATTCAAGATCATTCAAGCTTCTGCTTTGTTCAGCTCAGACTATCTTCTGAGCAAAAACGTGTTCGAATTTACCACATTAGTTTATCAACGTTGCCAATTTGTCGAAGATTTCAGCCCATCAAAAAGGAAAGACAGACCTGGAAAGCACATGCGAATCCATGGTGCATTTGCCACTTCTACAGGTGAACCATCTTTAACCTGGTGATTCTAGATGGCTTCTGCCCCACTTCTGTAAGGTATCTATATATATATAAATAGACACAGTATCTCCCATGGAAGCTAACTTGGATTATCAATCATTGCTTAGATAGTTTGTACATTTACCAATTTTGGAGAAACATGATCAAAGCCAGACCCATGGGCCAGGATATACATGTCCACTTCCAGTACTCATCATCAACATCATCAACACAATATATTATATGTATAGATATTCATGTATATAGATATATTATATAATATTATATAACTATATTCATATACTATCATCCACCATGAGTGCAATTTATCGTTTTATCATATCTTACCACAAGATTTCGCCAAGTCCGCCCGGTCCGGCCACCAAGCGCCCGCGCCAAGGCCACCAAGGCCACCATGGCCACCAAGGCCACCAGGGTGACCTGGTGGACCTGGCGAATCCATGGATGGATGGAATACCCTCTGGTTATGTCAAAATAGCTATTGAAAATGGCCATTTATAGTGGATTTTCCCATGAAAAATGGTGATTTTCCATAGCTATGTTAAATTACCAGAGGGTATTAGTTGAGTAATCTGGTTGGTGGTGCAATAAGCGTCTTGAAAGATATGAGTTCGTCAGTTGAGTCAGCTGGTATGATGAAATTCCCAAGATATGGAAGAAATATATGTTTGCCCTCTAGTAAACGTTTACATAACTATGGAAATTCACCATGTTCAATGGGTAAATCCACTATTTCTATGGTCATTTTCAATAGCTATGTTAAATTACCCCAGATGCTCCATGTATGGTTTACCTACAAAACTGGTTGATTTTTAGAGCAAATGTTGGTAAATATTCCAGCACCATGGAGCATCTGGGGTTGAATAGTAATGATAATAACTGGTTGGTGGTTTTATCCATCTTGAACAATATTAGGCAATGGGAAGGATTATCCATATACTATGGAAAATAAAAAATGTTCCAAACCACCACCAACCAGTAATAATAGTATAATTATAATGATAATAAATAGTAATTACTATACATTTACCATATGTTACAATCATTTACTACATACATATTAAACTAAGCTGTAGGATATCATAGGATATGTATTAAACACTTGATGGACGGATAAGTGGAGACTAGTGACTAGATCCATGACCACATAGATCGATGTATGACGGGACACATACGACTACTGCATGTAGTCATTTGAAAACACCGCATAGGTCAAATTCGGATGTCCATACTAAAATTGATCAGATGCTCTGAGTAATTGGGTATTAAAGTTTGACTCGGTCCCATTTCACGTTATTCGTTGCCGGCCAAATAAAACTGAATGCCCGAAAAAAAAATGAGTTTCTTTTACAGAAAATGTGTGAAAATTTAGTTCTCAGGGCCTTAAGTTGCATTACATTTTGACCCACTGCATCTGGATAATTTAAAATCCAAACCTGATCTAAGGCAATAAATTTGATGGTTTCAGCATTACTCTTGCATCATTCCCCGGTCTCGATTAGTCCGCCACTTTCAGTCGCAACCACTCATTTCCAGACAAATGGCGGGGGAAGTCTCTGGTTGTGTGTGTATATGTATATGTATATAAATATAATATACATATATATAGAGCTATTTACAAATAAACAAAATAGCCTGTTCTTGTGAGTCACAACCCTCATATTTGGATGCATGATAGGTAGATTGTCGTTGGTGAATATCCACACAGTGTTTGGACCCAACTCAGCTGCCATGGCCTATAAAGGGCGGCGCTCTGGCAGAAGGCGGAACGGCCGCCTGCTGTGTTTGATATTTGATATGCTTGGTCGGTCTGGTGATTACAGGGCAACATGGGCACACCAAGGGAACAAGTCCCTTAGAACGAGCAAGTTCCTTAGAACAAAGATGGAGAAGGAACATCCTTTGAGGCCTTAGGTGTTAGTTGAGAGATGTTGAGAGTTGAAGGATAGAAAATTATCCTGGTTGGTGGTTTTAACCATCTTGAAAAATATTAGTCATTAGTTAGTCAATGGGAAGGATTATACCTTTTCTATTATGGAAAATAAAAATGTTCCAAACCACCAACCAGTAATAATAATGATAATAAATAGTAATTACTATACATCTACCATATGTTACAATCATTTACTACATACATATTAAACTAAGCTGTAGGATATCATAGGATATGTTTGAAACCACCAACCAGTAATAATAATGATAATAAATAGTAATTACTATACATTTACCATATGTTACAATCATTTACTACATACATATTAAACTAAGCTGTAGGATATCATAGGATATGTTTGAAACCACCAACCAGTAATAATAATGATAATAAATAGTAATTACTATACATTTACCATATGTTACAATCATTTACTACATACATATTAAACTAAGCTGTAGGATATCATAGGATATGTTTGAAACCACCAACCAGTAACTTTATAGGGTTGCTGGCCCTACCAGGGGAACCATGGGGCACCCACCTGCGCAGCCGGAATCGCCGGAAGCTCCGGCGGCTCGGGCGGCTCCGCGAGGCGGCGCTTAGGCACGTCTGGCGATGAAATCAGCTGACTCAATGGATTGGTTTAAGGGAAAATCTACAAAAAAAAACATAGTTGTTTCCATCAAATATAGGGCTTTCCTGTAAATTTTCCCATCATCCAATTCTATGATTTAAAGAAGTTGCGAACAGATATGAAGTCTATATTTGGTTGGTGGCTTCAACCTAATAATAATCATATGGTCCATATTAATGGTTATTATATCGTTAATGATGGTTAATAATAATCATGGTGAATATATGGTTAACAAGAATCATATGATTAATGGTGATGGTTATTATATGTTATTATATGGTTAATGATGGTTAATAATAATCTGGTTGGTGGTTGAGCCCTATCCCTCTGAAAAATGATGGAGTGAATTCGTCAGTTGGGATGATGACATTCCCAATATGATGGGAAAATGAAATTCCATGGTTCCAAACCACCAACCAGATGAAAATATGATCGAAGTGATCGATCACTGGATGGTTGCGAAGTCCTGCACCAGGCAGGGAAACTATTGGTAACTAGATATTTCACCACTGTAAATTTCCAGGGATAATTATGGGATTCATCCCATCATCCAAAAAAAATAACACCCCCCAAATGGTCTCAAATAATGTGGTTTGATTCCCTAAACTGGCCCTAAACCCATGGTTTTTTCGAGGAGGTGTGTAAAGGATGGGATCTATGTGTTGACTTGTGCCCAAAACTTGTTTGGCGCTCAACTTTGGGATTCATATCAATTTAAGAAATAGAACCGGTCTCATGCATTAGGTATGGGTAAAAATTAGGTACCCTTGAAATGAGATGACTAAGCTCGTAAAGAAATGATCGAAATCTGCGGTCACCCCTGAAAAGCCTTAACCCATATCCGAATTAAGTAGAAACGGACCATGAACAGTTTAATGGAAAATCCCAGGATGTAAATAGGATGTCATGGTGTTGGTTTCTAAGAAACAAATACGGGATACTATATGATACTATGAATCTTATGTTTTTGCTTACATGCATCGAAACAACCGATACTATTAACATTAAACACATTTTCATTGACTTCACAGTTTTCCTTTATCAAATTCTGTGCATCCCATTGGTTTGTAATGTCGAGCCTGGATTCAAATTTACCCCGTTTAGCTGTTAAAAATTGGGAGAGTACCATTTATATAAGTATCAGATGAGTTATGACTATTGGAGGAGTACCCCCTAATTTTTCAATAACCATTGGTTTATTCATCCGGGGTTGATATTAAACAACAAACATGGGGGATTTGTGTGGGATTTAGAAATTAATAAACCATTGGTTTGTCCAGCTTTTCCAACTTCACACAAAGGACTTTACATCTGCCGGACATGGTTCCCATCGTGGGTTTCCTGGCGTCGCCATGTCAACGGATGTTTCCAGAGTAGGCTACGTCTCTGACCTTGTCAAATGGTATACCAACCCGCAAATCGATAGAACAAGTAGTTTCCAATCCCAAAATAGTGGCCAGCCCAAATATATATTTTTCAATTATACTTTTCTACCTTTTTGTGAATTACACTACCATGCGTCAATAGAAATCATGCATCAATAGAAATCATATCATTCATTACAGGTGATATACGAGCCGGCCTGGAATCTTGGCTGCATTCCTCTTCCTCGATGGCTTGGAATCAAATCCTAGCGATCGCTACGTCAGCTACGTTCGCTGGTGCCCCAGTTGGTGAACGCTAAGCTGGCTGTTACAAGTCGATTAACATGGGTTAACGATGGTTAACGATTGGATTTATGGTAGATACACCCCCTATACATGTCTATAATTCATGGGGTTTATAAACTGACAACTGCCGGGTAACTGCATGTGAAGATGGGTTTGGTATCTGGAAATGGAGGAGTACGGAATTGATGGCATAACGACTGGATTTTGAGGTACGTGCCCTATGTTCAATTATTTTCAGACAAACCTTTGGGCATTTACAATCCCTCTGAGCAACCTAGACTCTGTCAATCAAATCGGGCATATTGACTGTGGTGATGATGGTTTTAATGGATTGGCCCAGGGTTTCCCTGGCTTTACCAGGAACTGAAAAACGTATGTCGCCATTGAAGTGGCTGAGATTGAGAACTGCCAAATCCAAGTGCTAGCTGTTGAATACAATCAATCACAAACCCTTGAACTCTAGGTTGTTCACTCACCTCTAATAACCTTCTACCACCTTCGGATATGATGATGGCTCAAAATTGGGCCACCGAAAGACAGGATAGTAAAGTACAAAAAATATCTAAAAATGATTAGTTCATACCACTTCTTCAAGTTCTGAAACATACCCATACGATTTAACCTCCGCGTTTCACATCTCTTTTCCTGGTCCTGGTTCGTGAACCTGGGGTGTGGGAAAGGGCTGCTGTGGAAAGCGATCCTTGGTGGATCGCTCGCTGCCAACTCCACTGCGTTGTAAGACAAAATCTATAGGAAACCAATGCAAACTCTATCACTATCAACATATGGAGGGTCAAAACTATGAATGGCATATGGTTTATGATCATGCATCCCAAAGAAACTACAATGATCTACAATGGTTTAATTTCAAGATATTGAATCCCTTTAAAAATGGATAGATGACCATCCTGCAATATGGCTATACAATTGATCTTTTGACCATGGCACATATGTGCAAGTTGAGCTGGGCCAATAGCAACCCCGGAATTGGGTGGATGACTAGCTGGATGAACATCCCAATCGACATTCGAAAACATACCAAGACTATGACAAATTGTCTAAATTTTGTATATTAGAATATTATATGATTTATCAAAATATACATATAAATTTAAATAATATAGAAAACAAATTTAAAGTTTAGCCACTGGTTGCGTAGGAATATGTTCCGCACAGGTACAGTACTTGGTGATCCCACCTAGGCATGGAAGATTCGCCATGATGGCAACAGCAATCCCTACTAGCATATATGGTCCATGTGGTTGAACGCACATAATTTCGCACATTACAACTTGTATAGCCAACAGGCTAACATTGGAACCCCCTGCAACTAACAAACAAAGTCACGCCAGTGATTTTTTCCCGAATGCGTAGCAAGGGTTCCTGTTTCACTCTGGGGGTCTGGGAGTTGAGGTTGTGTTCGCTCCTCTCCTTTTCGAAAGTTTCAAGGCAGGTTGTAATGTCGTTTTGCGCAGCAGGCGTGGCACTTCCTGACATTCTCACGTGTCTGCAAACGTGTCGAAAGTCGTTTGTGTGACAGGCGCATTGCGCTTGCAAGGTTTTCAGCAGATCAGCTGCATTTTTCGTCGCAGGCGCAGCACTTTGGAGACCTCCATCGTCATTTCGCGTGGCAGGCGCATCGCTTCAGACGTGTCGCGGTGCGTGCTCTACACTCCACACTCCACCCTCTACACTCCACACTCCACACTTCACACTTTACACTCCACACTTTACACTCCACACTTTACACTCTGCAATTTCACCCTATACTTTACACTCCACACTTTACACTCCACACTGCACACTTCACACCCCACACTCCACACTCTACACTTTACACTCCACACTTACCAGCCCGGAATCCCTCTAGGATGCTGAATTCAGGAAATATTTATTATTACGATTTTAATATGGTTTTGGATACGATTTGACGATATGAATTTGGAGTCCACACTTTACACGTAGTCACTACACGCTTTCCACTTTACAGTTTACACTCCGAGCTTTACAAGTTACAGTTTACTTTTACACTCGGACACTCCGCACTTTACACTTCACACTGCGCCTTCAACACTCTACACTTTACACTCCACACTCTACACATTACACTCCGCACTCCACACTTTACACTTCACACTGCGCCTTCAACACTCTACACTTTACACTCCACACTCCACACTTCACACTCCACACTTTACACTCCACACTCCACACTTTCCACTTTACACTCCACACTTCACATTCCACACTTTACACTCTACACTTTACACTCTACACTTTACACTCCACACTCTACACTCCACACTTCACACTCCACACATTGCACTCCACACTCCATACTTTACACTTTACACTTTACACTCCACACTTCACACTCCACACTTTACACTTTACACTCCACACTTTACAATTTACAATTGAGACTTTACACTACAGACTGACTGTATACTTTACACTCCACACTCTACACTTTACACTTCACACTCCACACTTTACACTCCACACTTTACACTGGACACTCCACACTGTACACCTTACACTCCATACTCTTCACTCTACACTTTACACTCCACACTTTACACTCTACACTTTACACTCCGCACTTTACACTCGACACTCCACACTGTACACTTTATTTACACTCCACATCACTCCACACTCCACACTCCACACTCTACACTTTACCCTCCACACTGTACACTCCACACTTGACACTCCACACTTACAATCCACACTGTACACTTTGCACTCCACACTTGACAATATACAATTTACACTTTACACTCCTTACTTTACACTTTACACTCCACACTTGACACTCCACTTTACACTCCACACTTCACACTCCACACTTTACACTCCACACTCCATGCTTTACACTTTACACTCCACACTCCACAGTTTACACTCCACACTTTTCACTCTATACTTTAAACTCCGCACTCTACACTCCGCACTCCAGAATTTGCACTTTACACTTTGCACTTTACACTCCACACTCCATACTTTGCACTTTACACTCCACACTCTACACTCCACACTCTACACTTTACACTCCACACTCCACACTCTACACTTTACACTCCACGCTTTACACTTCACACTCCACACTTCACACTCCACACTTTACACCCCAGACTTGACAATATACAATTTACACTTTACACTCCACACTTTACACTCCACTTTACACTCCACACTTCACACTTCACCCTTTACACTCCACACTTTACACTCTACACTTTACACTCCACACTCAACACTCTACATTCCGCACTCCACACTCTACACTTTACACTCCACACTCCACACTCGGCACTCCACCCTTTTCCACATTCCACAGTCTACACTGCACTGCTACGGTGGCATGGGAAACATTTACAAGACTGTTCAAATAGCTTGTTTTACAAAAGTGTTGTACGTGACTGCATTCGGGTTCGTGGGCTGCATCTTGTTTTTTTGTAGCATATTGATGCATATTGTTGTATTATGTTGCATTCTTCCATGTTGATGGCTCAAAATTTCACTTTTAACAGACCCTGACCAGAAGAATCATCAGCGACAACAGGCATCCGGCTGAGAACCCAACAATCTCTTCCTGTGTTGGGCCTAGCGTTGCATCCTGCCAAGAATGCAGGGGGACACCTGGGAGAATGGGTGAAGATCGCACATCATTTGGTGGCGAATGGGTTGTTCTGAAAATAGGGTATACCGATATACTCCTCAAATGGCAATTTTTCAATAGGGATAATGATGATTAACCAATGGATTTGGGGTATCCCATTTTCAAACAAACCCACATATGACTGATAAGTACGAAAATGTACAGGGATGTACAGGGTACGTGTTTTTTAATCAACGCACGTAAACCAAAAAGTGCCAGGCACCCTTCTGGATTAGTACGCTAACCATCAAACTGCTACCAGGATTTCCTTGGGCACATGATGTCTGTTTTATTCGGCTGCAACCATCCAAGTCATACTAAGGGGCGGCTGAAAAAAAAACGATATGTAGAACCATCCCAGAATGTAGGTCTATGGGTTTGTCTGACAATATCCCTATTGTATCCCCGGTCATCAAGCGGTTCATGATTTTCCCCACATAAATTGCTAGTATTGAGGCATACGGACACACCCATCATGTGCCATCGTCAAAAACATATTGTATGCTCATCCCACCATTCATTAGGCAATCCCCAGTTTATGGATATGATTAAGCCGTACTCATAGGGGGATGACCATCCGCTTTTGTAGGAAAATCATCCATTTAACTTGACCATGGACCATAGCGGATCATGGTTTGTTCATTGATTGTAGGAAAATCATCCATTTAAGGACCAAAATCATTCATATGTGTCGGGGGTTCTTAAAAAAATGAGAATCCCCAAGTCATCATAGGTTTCAATACTAAGTCGTGATCTAATGACTTGGATGAGTTGGGTTACACCCCTTTTTGTAGGAAACCTCCGTATATAGTATAATTCACCAAATAAATCATGTATACATGGGCATACATGGGCCATCCATAACATAGCTTTTTTTAAAAACCAGATGGTATATTGATGTTTTAGGAAACCATAGCAAATATATTTGATGTTGGTTATATATATATATTTATTTAATATTTACATATATATATATATACAACCCAAGCATTATAGTTGGTTAAATCTCCCATCAGTTATTCATTGAGCATTGATGTAATTCGGCACAAAAATCGTCTCCTGCAGATTCAACTGCTGCAACTTGCCCATCATCGCCGCCTGTCACCATGGCTTCGAAGCCATGGCCAACTTGTGATGCCAAAAAAAAGATTTCGAGAAATATCACGCATGGTTTTTCATATCAAATTTAGGGTTGTATGGGCAGTTGTATGCATTTTTCTCCCCTGAATCTAAAGAAACTTGCTTCTTGGTGGGGATATGATTCCTTCACATTCCTCGATTTGCGGGTAAGATGACACCAAAACTAAACTCGTCCAACCAATTACCAAGGGTCCTTGCAATGTGTTCAAAACCCGGTTGATGTGGCTGGATAAGACACCACAGGTAGCAGTTGTGGTCTCTCTAGCAGCAAATCTTGGTGTAGTCAGGCTTTGGTAGTGGGCAAACAAAGAGGAGATAGCCAATCATTCAATCTGACATTTGCAAACACTAAGACTTGGATCGAAAATCAAACAATGTCACATTTACAGGTACGGTAGCATGCCTAACCTCAATCAACAAAGGAAAGGTCGGAAAGGTACCCTGAAAGCATCTGAAAGCAATTCGAAGAGGCACGTTACCAAAACAAAAGGGATGTAGCTGATATAACCAAACAAAATATGGGGATGGAGCCAATATAGTTTATGTATGTGTATATATATAGTGTTAGATTTGCATATGACAAAATATATCAACATATTATATATCACTCATATTACCATTATTATTATAATATGATAATATATTACCCTCTGGCAAATTAACATAACTATGGAAAATAACAATTTTTAATGGGTAAATCCACTATAAATAGGCCATTTTCCATGGCTATGTTAAATAACCAGAGGGTAACTGTAAATATATTTATTACATCTGATCAAAGAACCAACATGTCCAATAGGCATTTCCTCCGGGAAAATGCACCACCGAAAACCGAAAAAATCCACCACCGAAACCCGCCTCGCGATCGGCAAAGTCCACCATCTCGAAACCTAGCTGTTTCTGAAAGAAATCCAGGTGTTCTGCCTGCCCAGGGCTGTGGAGGGACCATTTTTTTCCAGTTGGGAGATCATCAAGATGAAACATGAAACTATTTCATGAAATCTGAAACTGATGCTGTCTTGTGGATTGAACTTGCATGTAGGTTGTTTCATGAGTTTTAGATAGTGTTTTATGTGATAAATTGTGTAATGATCCCTGCGGAAGTGTATTGTGTATATTTAACAATTCGATACAAATCGTGAGATATAATTGTTATATAATTCGATACTATTCGATATTAGATACAATTCGGAAGGATATGTTATCGAGAAAAAACACCTTCGCGACATCATGATATGCCAGCGTGCGGTGCCTTCGATACCCTTCGATTCTAAACAGGCCACCCTTCATCACCTAGCCCTTGCACTGTGAGATCTAAATCCTCCAGACTTGGTGTTCGTATCTATACAAATACACTAGCCAACTATAGCCGAATAGATATCTCTCCGTCTGTCCCTCTCTCTTTCTTTCCTTATTTCTTTATTTCTTTTTTTCTTTCTTTTCTTTCTGTCTTTCTTTCTTTGTTTCTCTCTCTCTCTCTCTCTATCTTGTTCTTTATTGCTTTCTTTCTTTCTCTCTATCTCTCTCTCTCTCTCTCTTTCTTTATTTCTTTCTTTCTTTTTTCTTTCTTTCTTTATTTCTCTCTCTCTCTCTTTCTTTATTTCTTTCTCTCTCTCTCTCTCTCTTTCTTTATTTCTTTCTCTCTCTCTCTCTTTCTTTCTTTATTTCTTTATTTCTTTATTTATTTCTTTCTGTATTTCTTTCTTTCTTTCTTTCTTTCTTTCTTTCTTTCTTTCTTTCTTTCTCTCTCTCTCTCTAAATATACAATGTATTTCTGGTTAGCATAGATACATATCTAATTATCTTACCAGCAAAATGCGGTACGGATTTCGGCATAGGCGGTACCATCAACATCAAACGAAACAGGTAGATTACCATTTTTGGGCCAATCAGTGTGGCATGCGCCCGTACCAAGATTCTGGCCCGCATAAGTTCTTGAAGGACATATGGGGACTATGATCGCTCCACCATACGGGTTGTGGGCAATTGCTGTACCATCTGGTATATATGTATGTGTATACATATATATATGTATATATATATGGATATATAGCTATAAAAAAATGACCATTTATATGGATGATTTGCTTGATTTACCTATTAAGCATGGTGATTTTCCAGTTCGCAAACTGTTAGTTTACCAGAGGGTCACCAATTTTTAGACATATGAAGCTCGTGCTGTTTACCTCACAATCTCGCCCGCCTCTTCACCCTCGAACACCAAGGAGACCATCCACCCTGGGATTTCACCCTGGGGAGAGTTTCTTCTTAGTTGTTTTCAGCATTTGGTTAATCTGGCTTTTGCAAAATTGGATACAGTTTGGGTACGAGCAAATAGACATATGTGTATATATATAATATAGGTATAGATATACATATGATATATGTGTGTGTTTCGTGGTACAAGCGAGTATCTGCTAATTGGTGATCAAAAATTCCCGGTCATCCCCGATCTATCCATTAGCAAATAAAATTGCCCATCAAAGATGGGGATATTGTATGATTTAACATGGTTTAACATTATTAATCCATTACCTTAAATAGATGATCACTAATGGCGAAGTATCGGACGACGCAGGCAATGGTTGCCACGATTCGCCCAGAGATTCTTCCTGCTTGCACCCGGTTAACGATGGACAATTACCCAGTTACAAATGACAAACAGATTTTTTACATGGTGGTTTTCCAGTAACCGAACTAGTCATAAACAGAGGGTAAAATGGAACCCAACTTCTGGACAACTTCTGGCTGTTTAATTGGGAGGGTGCCATTTAAGTATTAGATTATGACTATTGGAGGAGTACCCCCCCTAATTAATCAATCATGGTTTATTAATCCGGGGTTGGCATAAGACATTATCTGGTTGGTGGTATACTAGTATACCTACCCCTCTGAAAAATATGAGTTCGTCAGTTGGGATTCTGACATTCCCAACTGAATGGAAAGTCAAAAAAAATCATGTTCCAAACCACCAACCAGTACATATTGAGTGCATATTCAGTGCATATCTGAATGGATTGGTTTAAAGGAAAATCTTAACCGGGAAACCATATAGATTTTCTAATTGAATATGGGGCTTTCCGGTTAAAAATTTTCCCGTGAAAACCAATCCATTGCATATCACCACCATATCTTCCCCCAACTGTGACCAACGGGTGACCTACCGAGCCGAAGCGGGCCGTGCGGCCGCTCCGGTGGAGATAGGTCTCCTGAGGTCCGGCGGTCGATGTGACTTGTGACGGTGAAAACCCATAGGATCCATGGTGCTGGTAGAAAAATGCTAACATGACTGGGGTATATTGATGGGATCCATGGCACACCATATATGGCATACATGGATCCTATGGGCAATATTACTGTGCTTTACTAAGGTGTTCTTTTTTGTTTACTATGGTTTACTATGAATTCGAAGCCAACAAATAGATCGAACAGTACAAGAAAAACATGTCCAAGTAGGGATAGACAATAGATCAGTAGTTGTTCTGTCTTTTGTGTTGTAGAATGCCAGAAGTGGTCTACATCAAGCAGGAATATCACAAACTAACACGCAGAAAAATTGCATTCACTAAGCATGGCCAAGCTTCAACACCTTTTTTTGCGTTTTAATGGATGCTCTGATGACGAATACTGTAGTTAGTAAGCGGCTCATGACAATAGTCGGTGGTTCATAATCCCCTCTTTATTTGGCTTATCCTATTTCTGAGGTTCTAGTAATCATACCTACAGTACCTAGTAGATTCACCAGATGCCAACTCAAAGCAGCGAGCTGTGCCACAGTGGGGAGTTTGCTGCCTGTGGCTTGTGAATAGCAGGCCATCTGGATTTTCTGACCGTGATGTTGTGACATAACCTCCATCAAACAAATCCCCGTGGCCTAGTCATGGAGGTGCCCAGTTGGGAAAATCATACAACCATGTGGATTTTCCAGCCATGTTTGACGCATACCTCATAAGTTGGCTTATGATTTCCCTTTATATCCCATTTAAATCCCCACCATTTTTGATGACCCCGTCATCATTTCCACCTCAGAAAAATGCAGGTCGGTTTGGTGCAGTGGATAACTGTGGGAAACATTGGGAAGCTATATTTTGCTGCTTAATGTCCCTTCTGGTGCTAGTTCTACCCCGACCTTAGTATGGATACTTATAGACACTTATAGATACTTGTAGCATTGTAGAAGCTCTTGCTGGTGGTTACAACCCTGAAAAAACATGTTGGCCTTGAGTCATATCCAGTCATATCCCCAGAGTTCTTGCATACATCCCCATGTTTTGTTAAAGTATCATATTTATTTATATAATGTATGTTTATCTCAACATTGCGGTGTCCCTAAATCCCTGTGTTCGTTATCAGTTTCGCTAATCACTGGTTAAATTGGGATGATATACAATGATATACAAAACCATTGACAATATCAGATGACCCCACGAGGTTTCCACCGCCCCAGTTTCCAAAGTCAGCCAAACCCCAAAAGCATCCAAGTCCATGGATGACGGAATCTATATCCATTTATTCAATGGATTGGTTTTCACGGGAAAAAATGTTAACCGGAACCCCCCATATTTCATGGTAAAAAACAATGGTTTCCGGTTAAGATTTCCCCTTAAACCAATCCATTGATTTTTACAAAACTAGTCAAAAACATGAACCACCATGATTCAAAAATCTAGATTTTCCCTTTAACCAATCCATTCATACGGAAGCCTATGGGTTTTGCAGGGTGTGCCTTCTCTACAGGCAAGTTCAAGTTCACCACCACATCCACGTTCTCTGCATCGATGCCCCGCGCCATGAGGTCCTACGCCGCTTGATGGTCGTTGATGGTCGTTGCGGTTTTACCATGGGGATTCCTTCGGGGATTTCATGGGGATATACCCTCTGGTTATTTAACATAGCCATGGAAAATGGCCCATTTATAGATGGTTTACCTATTAAAAATGGAGATTTTCCATGGCTATGTTAAATAACCAGATGGTACCCTAAACATACAAAAAGATGTGGAAAAACCATGCTTTTCTTAGGAACATCGTCTACAAATGGTGGATTTTGAACATCTATGTCAGTTTACCATATAGGGTAATCAACTAAATATGGGAATACATCATTGGGATATAATTGGGATAGAACAAACTTATTATGATCGCTGGTTTATGATTGTTTATGGTCATCCCAGTCATCCCATATTATTATTAGGAATTACTTATTTGCGGGATTATGCGGGTATGCTGCCCCAAGGAAAATGGTTTGATGACCATCAAGCAACATGGGTATGTAATCCAACTTTTGACGCACAGAGCATATGGAAATAATTTGGGGTAGAGAACAAACACAGAGAGTGAAATTGTTTACCAGCACATTGGTACATATCTGACCAACAAACCCACACGGTTCACGGTTGAAGGGGGAACATGACTGTGGCATACCAAGCATCCCCTCGTTCGAACCTTGTGGGGTTCATCATTCAGGTCATTAAATTGCACAGGTTTGTCCAAAATTACCCTCTGGCAATTTAACACAGCTATTGAAAATACCACATTTATAGTGGATTTACCTATTCAAAATGGTGATTTTCAATAGCTTTTTGTATGTTTACCAGAGGGTAAGGTATCCTAGTCCATCCTGCGGCCTTTAGTATCTTTAGTGTTGTTTCGATGCATCTTATGAAACATACTTCTCCATGAAATCTCCCCAGTGGCTGGTGTTACCCTCCGGTACTCAAACATGGCGGTTGAGAATCCACCATTTACTTCGGTCATTTTCCCATTCAAACCTTCATTTATAGTGGATTTTCCCATGCAAATGTTCCCATATTTTTTCCATTGAAACCTACGTTTCTTGTGGATCTCCATGGCTTCCGAGCCTCAGCCGTGAAAAAAAAGGCGGGCAATTGAAGCACACCCTTGGGGCCCATGCCGTGCAAACCAACACGCGATACTGGAAGCGCTTCAGCCCAGCAAAGGCCTGATGAAAAGTCGAAAGGGGGGCGAAAGACGAAAGATGGTTGAAACAAGCGTGATGACACAGCAATAACCACCAAAAGTATGGATATTAATGGAATTTAATGGATATGAATATGAAGCCTATGAACAAACATATATACAAGAAATTCTTGAAATTTACATGAAATTATCACAGTGATTACAGTAAATGACCGAACACAATAAATGTTCAAAAGTGTTCAGGATTTTCGATTGCCAGGCTAGATTTCAGGATTTTGGCGCAGTTGATTTTGTAGATGAAGACTGATGTTAAGACGGTATTCTAATGCTGCTTGCATCGCACTTAAGCAGACAGTCTGTGGTGAAATTGTTGGTTCTGACACTGGGTCGATTAATCTCTGCCACCCAAAAATCGCCACTGACTCTAGTCGTTCAGTGCATTCGAAATTTCTTGGAAAGTTTTTCGTTGAGCATCACCAGATGCTATAATTTAGGCTATAATGATCATAAGTTGTTATAATCATCCCATCCTGCTAACACTAGAACCAGTATGAACAAGTGAAGCATGGCTTTTTAAAAATGAAGAGATCCAGACATTCTCTGCGACTTCCACCAAAACCACCCTGCACCCTGCACCTGTGTTCTCCAAGACTGCTCCATTCGCCCTCCACTGGCCGCAGCAGGAACACCTGCCTTTCACGCGATGAGTTCCGGAATCCACAGAAAATGCAGAAAACATGGGAAAACATATAAAACAACAGTGGTTAGCGGTGGTTAATGATGGTTCATAGTGTCATAGTGGGTATATGAACCAACAATAATAGATGAAGAATATGGATACTTGGAATAATGTTGGCAACCCAATGCTATAAACAACTATCATTTGCAGATGGTTTATACCACCCATAAAAAAATGTGATTTTGGGGATGGTCTATAAGTTTTTTTTATTGGGTTTACCACATATAGATTGTATCGGAAATCTTGTGATTATACGACTAAACATTGGGGATTATTCATCAGGAACAAGTTGGAATCAACAGACACAAATGCGATATCAAACCCGCAAGACTTGGGAAATAGAGGGTCAAACAATCTTCTTGGAGCCCTGGTCGTTTTCCCATGTAAAGGTTCCCATGAAAAAGAAAATGGTGCCCCAAAATGGTTGATTTATAACGGAAAACCCATCTATAAAGGGATGATTTAGGGGGTACCACTACTTTAGGAAACCCCACATAGGAACATGGATGATATCATTGGGTAGGATCGATCGCTTATCATTGGCTTGATCAAATTCTTCGCCAGAGCCTTGACCGAAGGAATTTGTTTCCCCAGTCATAAACGGGAGGTTTCCCCTGCAACAATTATATAGTGTTATTGAATGTTATTAACTACTATACACCAATTGTTATTGAATGTTATTAACTACTAACACCAACTCAAGATTCGCATTTTTTCGGTGTTAACAATCAAACATCAACAAACACGTTAACAGTTTTTGGGTGTGTCTGAAAATGATCTTGGGCCGGACCCGACCTGGTTCAACAGCTCAGCGATTTGAATGGCACTGTTGGAATCGGACACGAAGACAAAGGCCTGGCGAATACTCCATTGAGTGCCAATAGATGGAATTGAAATCCGAAATAATCCAAGATAACTTCAAGATTTTGATTGGATGTACATGATGTAGATTCAGATTTAGATTTGAACTAGATTTGGATTGAATTGGATTATGTAGATTAGATGGATCATGGATCCGTTGATTCAACCCGTGCAGGTATCCTATTGTATCTACCTACATAATCCCATATGCATAGCTAGCTATTTATCATTATTTATCTATATATGTATAGCGTCCTTCTTATGTCAGGGCTATTTCATTGTGCGATTGGAATCGTTTAGAGCCATCCCCGCCCGCCCAAGCCAGTTGATCAACCGGACAAGAGCACAAGTTTCACTTTGAGGGGTCTCTGTTGGACCTTTTGTTGACTGTTGCCGACGGCTGCCAGATCTTTGCAGAGTCGGTTTTTGTTGTAATCCTACCATTTTCCCCCTTGATCTTCCCCAAACTGGGAGGTGTTCGTCCGTTCTGCAGAATCATCCTGCGACATTGTGGCAGCACAAAACTCCTCTGGAACGACTGTGTTGAAAAGGCAAATCAAGGCGGAAACGAAGGTGGCCCGGCGCAAAAAACATTGAAGTTGATTCAGACATCTTCAAAACATGTCTCATCCCTCCATATTTGAGTTGCGAGGGTGTTAAAACAGAACCAACGACCAAGGAGTCTCAGGAAACCATGATTCAATGCCTAGTTTCATCTACCCAGAGACCCAGCCCGTGCCTGCTGATACGAAGCAGTGGTCAGAACTTGCAGGAGGGCAGGCAGCTTCTGTCTGACGTGGTAGCCTGCAATCCACACGGGTTGTCACAACCTATTTGGAAAATCCTGGGATATACTATAAAATAATTTCCAAGGATTATATATATATATCATTATATATATATCATTATATATATTAATCATTATATATATATATATTAATCATTATGTATATATATATATATTATATCATTATATATATAATTATATATAATTATTTGCATATATCATTCTATATATATATATATGTGTGTGTAAAAAATATTATACCGTTATATATGTATATATACATATCATTAGTTAATACTAGTTATGTATATCGATGTGTATCGATGCATATTCTTATGTATATTAATGCATAGCCTGCATATGCAGTACCCAATATAATAATAAATACTTGGGGTTTGGTGGCCGCAATCAGGAGGCTTCCCGGCGATAGGGAGGTGGGGGAAGACTGCTCCAACCCACTATACTTTTGGGTGATCCGTATGATCCGTGATACTGTCGATTCCAGTCTCAAGTTGGGAAAAGTTGGGAGGTCTGTAGTCTTGAATCACGACCAGAACATGAAGGGATCAAGACTTTCTTGGCTGAGAACCATGGAACTGTTTGCAGAAATCTTTCATACGTGGACCGATCACAAAACATCAGTTAAACTGCTCTCCCGAAGTTCTATATATCAGGTTCAGTTTGCGCGACATCGATGTCAAACAACCATCCACAATCTCCCATGTGTTTTACTGTTTTCCCGAATGCGTAGCAGGGGTTCCTGTTTCACTCTGGGGGTCTGGGGGTTGAGGTTGTGTTCGCTCGACGGTGCGCAACCTTCCGCAACCGTCCACAACCGTTCGCAACCGTCCGCAACCCTCCGCAAAACCGTCCGCAACAACCGTTCGCGCGAGGTCGCTATGGCCGTGCCTATGGCAAGTTCTGCAACGGGGCGCAGCACTTTGGACATGACCGTCTTCATTTTGCTGGCAAGCGCAGCACTTTAGAGGAGTCGTGTTGCGTGTTTTTTGCACATCGCATTGTCAGGGCTGTGAAGTGGCGGCAACGTGCAAATTCCGTGGCAAGCGTCGCATTTTGTGAGATGTGCTGAAAATTGACGGAAAATCTTTGTTCATGAGATTTGTCCGAAAGTTCATGGGATTCTTCCTTTTTTTTCCTCTGCTGAAATTTGAAGGGATCCATGGGAAAATCAGTGGACCCACCATAATGATTAATATTGAAAACACCCACACATGGCTAGCCATTGTGGGAAGATGAAACATGACTCGGAGGTGGCTAGCCCCTCTGATAATATATATTAACAAAATTTAACAAACATTCACACGACATGGGCTAACCATTTTGGGAAGACAAAATAATATGACTCGGAGGTGGCTAGCCCTCTAACAATTTTTTGAAGATACACCCACATGGCTAGCCATTGTGGGAAACATATAAGTGATCCATGCTTGGCAATGAGTTGGTTGTAAATATACTGCAGGTGGCTAGCCCCTGCACTTTAGAACATGAACCAAGTACAGGCTAGCCGGTTGCTTGTTGGATTTTTTCATCTGAGTTGAACCCCAAAAGTGGGCTGTCATGTTGGAAGTGGCGCTCGTGTATTACTGTCCCATGGCATCCTTTGACAATGTAAAACCACACAACTGACCGAAACCTATGAGACACTGGTCCTATTCGCAGGTCATCGTCATCATCATCATCATCATCACCATCATCACCATCATCATCGTCAGCATCAGCATCATCATCGTCACCATCACTATCACCATCGCCGTCACCACCACCATCGCCATCACCACCACCATCGTCATCATCACCACCGTCGTCGTCATCATCATCATCATCATCATCATCATCATCATCCAGGCAGGCTGTGTAATAAACGGATACTCTTGTATACCTGGAATAGTCAGTACAAGCATGACATTCTTGCTTGGGTAGGTTGACAAGAAGGCATTGGGCCTGGCATGGGAACTGGCGTTTGGCCGCGGCACTGCTGCAGCCTAGTTGCACATTTTTCAGGTTGCAGTAAGGAGTCGCTGTGCCCTTTGCAGCACGAAACGTTTGATCTCATCATCTTCACTGTTGTCGTCACATCGAGGACACCCATGGCAAAGCTCACGCCAGCCTCCACTTCGCTCTTCCAAGAAACGGTTAGTCCATCGAGCACCCAGTTGCTGAAACACATATTGCAGGAGCAATGCAGCACTTACCGATCGGTGCTGCCCATGGACACTGCTGATACCAACAAGGTGTTCCCGCCTGGGCAGCCTTTGTACCGAAGTCAAAAAGTTTGACATCAGATTGGCAAACTCCTGGCTGTAGGCCACTTGACGCAGGAAGTCTGTGTGATGGCCAGTGTGGACAATCTGTTGAATTTGTACCTCCCTCAAGACCGAGCAATCCAGATGATGAACATAGTCTGCATAGCTGATGAAGCGCCCGCATCTGCTATTCACATTAGTACCAAAGACTTCGGCAGTCATCAGGTAGCCAGAAAGCAGACCCCTCAAGCGTGTGGCAGGAGGAGCTGAGCTGTCATCGATACTGGAGGCAGCCTGGGCGCGGTGAATCACAGCAATTTATACAATTTCTTCGAAGCCACTAAACAAACAGCATGAAACATGGCCGCTTACTAACACCCTTTAGAGTTCAGCAAGCACTTTACAAACTTCACCATCAGTTAAGCAGCATCTGATCTCATTGGTAAAGCGCTCATTCGTGAAGTACAAGCTTGCGCAGTGCAGCCGCTCAAGGCCATGCGTCTGGCAACATCTACCCATCGTGCTTCACCTTTGACTGTCAACACCCTGGGTCCTCTTCCACGACTACGCAAGCCCACTGTGCACCCAGTGGCAGCTCGGATACGAGTCAAGTCTGCTGCAGTCAAAGTGTTGGTTTCCTGCAAAGGTCCCACCAGTTCTTGTGACACAGTCACCACATGCGAAGCTGCTTGTTCCATTTGATTGGCCATTGCCACATGAAGCACCCAAAAACTTCAGGACTTCAAGTTTGAAAAATTCATCACTTGTGAAATTGCATGGGATTAGGTGTGTCACAAGTGCCCTGTGTTTTCACATGTGTAGTGGTGTCTTGCAATTCTGACGATCAAGCTGCCCTGTGTGCTTGCGGTTTGGTGGTGATACTGAATATTGCAATGCTGGTTAGACATAGTTTCGTTTGCAATTGCTGGCATAGAACCACAAACGCTACTGCTCACACATCGCAAACATGAAGACCTCTCAGGATGCAACCTTCTGGTCATGCTTCACAAAAACGGCCCAAAGAGCCGCCACAACAGTAGCTAAGCATGCCTCACAAAAACGGCCCAAAGAGCCGCCGCAACGGTAGCTAAGCACGGCCCATTGAGCCGCCGCAACAGTAACAAGCACAACACCACTTTCACTTCAAAACTAAGGAGAAGAGTGGACACATCTAACATCTGACAACACTGAGGCTGACAAGCAAAAAGTCTGGAACATGCTGCCTTTTTCACGACCCCTTGCCACCCTTGCGGCTGCGTGCTTCGCGTGCCTTTTGGCACTTCGCGGACCGCTTCTTGATCTTGTTACGTTCTATCCTCAGGCGCAAGCGGTTCGATGCATAGACAGGTGGATGTTTAGGAGGTCTCGGTGGTGCAGGTAGGCCCATCTCCTCGATCTTCTTGTAGTGCGGTCTGAGTTTCTCAGCTTCCAGGTCTGTGCTTTCTTCTGTCTCAGACTCCGGCAAGATGGTGATATTGTCATCATCATCGTGCTCATCCATGGGCAGGTTTCTGGAAGAAGACGAAGTGCATTTGGCCTCGACACCACTCGACGAAGTGCAGTTGGCTTCGACACCACTCGAGGCGCTGGCTGCGGAACCTGAGAACTCCATGAGGCGGTCCAGTAGCACATCCGACTCCCTGCCAGGGCATGTGACATCGAGCTTGAGATTTCCAGGGCAATGAAATGTGAAAGGGTTGCGACAAAAAAAACACAGCCAAGAAAAGCAGACAAAAAAGGGTCAACCAAAAAAAACACAAGTAGACACAAAAGCAAGACCAAACATGAAGTGTTAGAAACAAGGACAGCAAGACCCAAAAAACGACCAAACAATTTGTTGCCCAGACAAGCCTTTTCAGCTTCGCATCGTCTGGTATGTTTATATGCACACAGGGCGTTGCGCTAGATCCTTCAGTCTGCAACGATTCCTTGAGAGGCAGCTCCATGGCGTCACCAGAAGTATTGTGTCACCGCAAGTATTGTCACCACAAGTACTGTGTGTTGGTTTCAAGTTCTGTAAAGATCTAGCAGTCTTTTTACGGCTGTATGCAGCAGCCAAGTATGACTGAGGCATGCTTCTTGTAAGTTTCATGGCGGTCACCGTTTATGGAGGACTGGGGAAAGTGTTAGACCTCAGAGTTGCAAGTGTTTTGTTTTGTTTGTTTTCCAGTGTGGCTAAGCTGTTGCACACCCCTGAACAAAGGGCTGCATGACATGCTTGTTCGTCTATGCAGCCCAAAGAGCCGCCAGGCTTTCAAGAGCAAGCACGGCCCAAGAAGCCGCTGCAACTCACGCACGGCCCAGTGAGCCGCAGCAACCCATAGTCTTCTCCATTTAAGGAGAAAGAAATTTCTTTCCTGTTCCTTCACTTTCTGTTGGGTGCGAAATCTGTTTCAAGGCTACTGAATTGTTTGACAATTTTTGATCGCAGGCATGATGTTTCAATCATAGCATAGGAAAAAAAGGAAGAATCCCACGAACTTTAGGACAAATCTCACGAACAAAGATTGGAAGCCTCCCACGAAACATTGATTTGGAGGTAGTAACTTTTGAGGTTCATAAGAAAACTCGTAGGAAAACGTCGATTTTAAAGCTATGCTTTGATGCTGTAACATGTCTCGTCTCGAGTCGATGGTTTTCCTGTGGCCTCGCCGTGTCTTTGGGGGAAGCTGCAAAACCTTTCCTTTTCGAAGGTGTCAAGTAAGCAAAAGTTGTAGTTTTGCGTGGCAGGCGTGGCGCTTCCTGACATTCTTATGTGTCACATTTTGTGTCGCAAGCGCACTCCTTTTGCGTTGTTTTCAAAAGCTTATAGTTCATTTCTCGTGGCAGGCGCAGCACTTTTGCGTGGCAGGCGCAGCACTTTCGACGTGACGTGTTGGTGTTTTTTGCCAATCGCAATGTCAGGGCTGCGTCAAATGGTGACAACGTGCAAATTGCACGGTGGATGTGGAATGTTCTGACGTGCGATGACACTGCACACTCCACACTCTACACTCTACACTCCACACTTTACACTTTACACTCTGCACTCTACACTCCACACTCTATACTCCACACTCCACACTCCACAAACTACACTCCACACTCTACACTCTACACTCCACACTCTACACTCCACACTTTACACTCCACACTCTACACTCTACACTTTGAAACTCTACACTACACTGCACACACTACACTTTACACTTTACACTCCACACTCACTCTACACTTTAAACTCTACACTCCACACTACACACTTTACACTTGACACTCACCACTTCACCCTTCGCACTCCACACTTCACACTTTACACTCCACACTCTACACTTTACACTCCGCACTCCGCACTCCACACTGTACACTTACCACTCCACACTCTACACTCTACACTTTCCACTTTACACTTTGCACTCCAAACTCTACACTTCACACTCCACATTTTACACTTGACACTCCGCACTCCGCACTTTACACTTTACACTCCACACTCTACACTCTACCCTTTACACTCTACACTTTACACTTCACCCTCCACACTTTAGACTTTGCACTCCACCACACTTTACACTTTACACTCCACACTTTGCACTCCACACTCCTCGCTCTACACTTTGCACTCTACACTTTACATGTCGCACTCCACACTGTACACTTTACACTCCACACTCTACACTTTCCAGTTTACACTTTGCACTTCACACTCTACACTTCACACTTTCCAGCCGCACCTTACACTTTACACTTTACACTCCACACTTCGCACTATACATGGACATCCGCCACTCAACACTCCATTTTCTTCAGACCCCACACTTTGCACTCCACACTCTTCGCCTTCCACAGTCTACAGCGCACTGGTACGGTAACGGGGGAAAAGGTGCAAGAATGTTCAAATAACTTGTTTCACAAAAGTGTTCTACGTGACTGCATTCGGGTTCGTGGCCTGCATCTTGTTTTTTTATGTTTATCATGTCTGATCATTTCATATCATTTCGGTATGTATAGGTTTACACATGTTCTATACTTGGGGATGGTCACCCTCCAATAAACAAGCCTGAAAATGGCAGATCGGTTCACAAACTTCTCCGACAGCCCATGTGCACCTTCCAGCACATAGCGCACATGAAGCACACCCTGACAGAGCCGCAGTGGAACAAACTTAAATGGAACAGGACTGCTGGTTTGGGGGTCATAGGGGCTCCCCAAAACAAACTTACCCGGCATAGGGGAAATTTAATGGAAATTTACGATTGTTTATGCAATGCGTTTAGTTTTCTCAGCCGGAAAGGCTATTGGCCCAGCTTTGACACACAGGAAAAGCCCCAATGCCCAACTTTATGCCATGTTCGGCCCTGCGTCTCAATCCCAATTTCTTTGAAACGCTTAGATCAATTTAGATCATCACTATTTTTCGTTGTTTCCATCAGCATTTTTTTGCTTACCCTCCAGTAAACTAACATGGCTATTGGAAAATCACCATGTTACCATGTTTCATAGGTATATTAACCATAAATGACCAATAGCTATGCTAAATTACCAGAAGTTAACCCACAAACCATTCGTTGATTCCTTGGTTTTCGCTTCTTCGTTTCCTGCGTCACCGTTCCACCGCTCTTTCGCCACCTTCAGCAACGCTGTCTCAATCTGCTCGGCGTCTCCGTCCAGATTGAGTCCATCCTGTGATCCAAGCATTGGAAAATTGATGGAAAAAATGTTTGGATTTGATCTATTTCTATGATGAATTGACATGTTGGATTTTTTCTAATCATCTTCAATCATCTTCATGATCATATCCAAAATAACTATCTGGCTGGTGGTTTTATCCATCTTGAAAAATATGAAAGTCAATGGGAAGGATAATCCCATATATGAAATGGAAAATAGAAAATGTTCCAAACCACCAACCAGTGATGAAAAGATGGTTGAAACCATTGTTGGAAAAACCAAATGGTTGGATGTTTGTTTTTCGTTTTTGAAACCTTTGTTCATATTCTATACACGATTTTTTCACCAAAGATGTCATGAAGATCCCTGGTAATCTAAAATAGTTATGGAAAATGGATGAACATGGCCCGTGAAAGGTAGAGGTTCTTGACCATTTAAGAAATGGTGAGAAAGTCCAAAGTTATGTCAGATATTGTTCGATGAGGTCGTGTCCCCCTAGGTCTAGGTATTCAAAGTCACCCTTTTTTCGATCATATTCTCAATGGCCATTTCAGGATCCTAGAATGGAGGTACCTACCATATTGTCAGGCCTAAATTTCAGGGGATATCCCCCCAATTATATGGCCTTATTTTATATGGTACTAACTAACGTACCTCCATTGTTTTTTCGGATCCTGGAGATCTCCCATGGATATATTTTGTGGTCAAACATCGAGGGATGATCCTCCAAGATCCCTATGTTTTACATGGAAAATCATCCATGGGGATCATAGGAATGAACATTTAACATGTTGAAAGCTACAGCTAAACCAAACGTGAACGTTTTAAGGATCATTAGCAACACAAAAACATCATGAATCTTCATCAGCGTTTTTGCATCAGCAACCCAAATCGGATAGTGAAACAAAAATGTATGAAACCACCAGCTTAGCCACTAGAGGGATGCTGAATGTCCCAATCAACCATCACTTATTTTGGGGATGGTCTTCAGCACTAGTCGGTCGGAAACTCATAAAGTACGTAGTATGCATTTTGTTTGAGAAGTTTTACGTCCTGATCA